TTGAATTGAAAAACATTGAGTCTGTTTCGCTTGTTTGCTGCGAGTCCTGATTATTTATTTAACCTGCTCAAGTTCATCCCATTCTACTCCCAATATTGGAGATGAAGCTCAGTGCCACAGACTGGGTGTGTTATGTGTATTATTATTGTTTGTTTACACTTTTACGCAGCTGAAGGGTCGAGGGCTGAGCAAAGTGACAATGAACAAGGAGATTTTATCGCCTTCCTTTCGTATTTATAAATGGGGTCCGTGCACTGAGTGAGCTGCGCGCGGCAAGACAGATTGAAACGCATCAGCGGCGATGACTGATTTCCTGCTGCTCCACACTGCACCACTCTTATGAGTGTACATAACACATGCAGCCCCGACGAGTTCCAAAATAGAAATCGTATTAATCTCTTTAGGGAAAAAGTACATTTTTGACTCAACATATTTGAAACACTTAGAATTTTCACTTATATTTTTGTTAAAAATAAAATACAAATAAAAGGAAATTATTACAAAGGAAATCGATTTAGTATTTTTTTTTATCTCTTCATTATTGATCAATTTATTTAGCTCAATAATTTCTACCGTTCTTCTTGAGAAAAAAAAATGAGAAGACCACAGTGGTTGAACATCTTTCCTCAGGAGCAAATATGATTTTTATTTGAAATTCCTGTGGCTCTTAATCTGAAAATCCACTGGCTCAAGGCGCCCTCCTTGCTCCTTTTATTGCTGCGACGAAATTCCTTTTAATAAAACCCGCCCGCGCCATTCACGTTTCGCAATAATGGTAATGCGTGTATAGAGCGTTGTGTGTCCATTGACCCTCCTAGAGCCGCGCCGGGGGTTTTCTAATGCAAACCACCCTCGCCCCAAAATGAGAGGGAGAATATGAGTCACCGCGCGGCCGGCGTCCCGACACTTTGGCGCCGCTCAAAACGCTCATGCTCCACCGTTAGACTACATCTTTATATGCGCCCCGCTTTTATGGATATGTACAACAAGTTACTAAGTACGTAAAGTTCAAGTAATTGCACACAGAGACGTGCATGTAGCAGTTTTCTGCCGACTATAGAACAGCGAAATCCCCCCGAAAATCACGTTTCCATGTTGGCACAATTAATTTTAGTGAAGTGTCAGCATATTCCATATAAGCTAAAAGCTAGCTAAATTTTTAGCAAAATGTTGATATATTTGATGCTCATTAATATTTTTTACAATCTATGATAAACGTTTTTTTAAATCCTCAACTCTCCAAAAAAAAATAAAAAAAAAACATTTTTTTATATTTATTTTATCTACAAATACCTGGATGATATTTTTTAAAAGTAATGATATAATATTTATGCAATTTAATTGCACAAAATATGTATTTAGTTAAAAAAATAAACTATATTGTTTGGAGTTAAATAATATTACCTTCATGTTTAAAGCTTATAAATTATAAACATATGCAGATAGAAAAATATGCATATCATTTTTTACTCAGTTATATTGGACAATCATCAAAGAAAATTTGTTTGAAATAAAATAAAAATACTGCCAGCAATTTTTCTCATCAGAGGGGCTTGATTGGTCTTTAATTTCTGTCCCACAACTCTTCATCAGGAGCCGGAAAAAACTATGAGATAAAAAACGCTGAGCCGCGCCAACGAATCCATAAAACTGTCTCATTCACTCGCGGCTAAATAAATTAAATCGCCTCGCAGATGCGCCTTGTGTGTCATTAAATTGGCATCGCCACACTACATCAATACCGAGCTATCACCGGAACTTGTGGCCAAAATTTAACCCACTGACGCAAACGCGCGTATAATCTGCCGCAAAATCCAATTTGCAGTTGGTGAAAAAAGTTGTTACCGGGCCAGAGTTTTTATCTCCGGCCTAAAAAATTCCTGATCGCACGATAAAAAGTCCCCGACTGCAGGACAAAAATAAACTCGGAACAAAATGTGACGGGCATTAAAAAATTTAATAGGCGCTGGAGAGCGGCTGCTGCTGGACGAGATTTCTTCTGCGGTTTTATTGTGATGCTGAGCAGCACCCGCATGACCATCATTATCATCACGTGTGATATAAAATAATAGCTGGAGTGAGAGTGGCGCAGATGATTTGCCTGCAATTCTCGCTGTAAATGGATGTGAGGCAAAATGAGGAAGCACTTAAAAGGAATCTCGCTTTCCTCCTTATATCAATATCAGCATGCAGCATTGGGGTGAAGTATCAAATTAGGAGCTGTTTTTCAACAAATAATGACACGATCTTTTTAGAAAGTTGTATAAATTTTATCTAAAAAGTCAATTTTCTAATTTAATGTATTCGCTAAAGTTTTTTAACCAAATTTGAAGCAATTTAATTTTAAAAATTGGTCAATGAAGGAATAAGCAACAGTACAATAATATAATCATTTCATTTCTTTAAATTTGGACACTTGATAGGTTTATTTGATTTGTTTATTATTGTTTCATTATGGTATTTTTTCTATATAACAAACAAAAAACCTCTCTATGATAACAGACTCGTCCAATCACAATTTAATAGGTTTGGGACTTATTTTTTATTTGTAAAAGTGGCAAATTTTAAATTTTGTATGTGAAATAAAATTTTAAGTATAAAAATCAATTCAATTTTGGATTTGATTAATTAATTTAATGCAGGTCACTCAGAAAATTTGACGTAGAATAAAAAAATGTTTGCAATAGCGGAAGTGAAAGAAATGGGTCTCGAGATAAGCCTCATTTTATAATTTTGCCTGATGGCCTTCGAAATAAACTACTGTAGACTGAAGAACGCAGAAAAGCCTTATTTCCTCTACATGTGAGTACCAAATCCAAACCTAATCAGCTTTTCCCATTTTGCCGACGGAAAAAGAACGAAAATCCGGCGTGTTTTAATGGCGAGATGTCTTTATCCTCACTCTCGGAAGCTGCGAAAGGGGCTGCACGCACATGTGTGCGAGGTTCGTTTTTCTCTTTCTGGCACGGCAACAGCCACACCTGAGACCGCTTTTGTGCGAAGCTAAATCTTCACGGACAACACGTGTTTGCGGATGAAAGGGTTGCAGCCCCTCCTTATCCGGGTCAAGTGGTTTTCTCATGCACAAGATGCAAAGAGGGTGGTCGCGCCAAGCAATGCCCTTTCAATATTTTTTTTCTTAATCTCATCATCTGGCTGCCGCGGTCGATGCATTGTTATTTTATTTTTCTTGACAATAAACATGCATATGTGATTCGTGTGCGAGTAAGTAACTTCCGGCCGCCCCGAGCCAGCAGTGAAAAAGTAAATGGTTAATATTTATTTATTTATTCTGGGCAGCAGGTGACGCACAGAAAGGTGAGTGAATTCGAGTGGAAACGCCGGCCGGGTGATTCACCGCGTGTGTGCATAAGGATTCGTGCAGTGTCGCCGCTCACAAGGAAACTCGGGAGTTAATTTTTTTTTTAATCTATGAATTCGTTCGCGTTGGATGCACCTTAAAATTATCTGCGTTACTCAGATCCGCGAATTCGCTTTCAATTTTCCTCTATTTCTTGTGGGTGTTTGTCATTCAACAACACTTATGCCAAACAAACATTTCTTGTTATAAAATATTTAAAATTTCTAGTTCACTCAAATTTTAATTTTTGCCGTTATTGAAAATGTTGTGAAGACGAGGGCGTGCTGTTTTTATTATGCTTTGCATTTGTCGATAATCGATAACAATTAAAGAACGAATTTATACTCTTAATAACAACGATCCTGAGCAATTCGCTTTACAATCAGTCTTATATCTCTGGGAATTTTTGCAGGACTTTAAGTAAAAAAAATTTAATAAATTAAAATAAAAGAAATAATAATTATGAATTTTCTGTTAATCAAGAAATTATTTCATTTTTAATTTTGTCAATAACTGATATATTTTGGTTTTAAAACGATGCCTCGCAATAAAATGTATTTTTAACTCTTTGTTTCGTGTGACTTTGTTTATAAATGTCTTTTATCGTTTCTAGAGCCGTGAAACGTCCCGCCCTCCCATTTCCTATTATATAGCTTTTAAAAAAACGCACCACTACTTGGAGTGTTACATAATTAGATACTCGCGTGTTTAGCCACTAATAGTTTTTTGTCATCCAGCAGGTAAGACCGTATTTAGAAATCGAACGCATTTCCATTTTCCCCTGAGGTAAAACAAAATTATCACAATATATTATAATGTATGCCATCACTCTGCTGAACGTCAAACAAACACTGAGTAAATATTTGAACGCAATTAAAGTTGCCAACATATACATATATTTGCACTGCCAGTTTGGAGGCGCTGCAGAGAGAGATGAGTAGCGAGAAACGCGTTTTCCGCGAGTATGGGGGCCCTATTCACGTTGCTTCTGCAGGAGAGTCCGACAGCGAAACATCGATTTCCCATCCAAGCTAGAAAGAGCTGCGGCGGGCTCATGACAATGCGCTCGCAAACTTTTTACTCCAAAGGAAATAATTATACAAAACAAAACACACGCTCAAGTAGGCGATTTATCCAATCTGCATGAATATTTGCCTACAATTTAATTGATCATTTTTAAAACTTCAAAATTTTCTTTAAAAAATTGTTGCAAAATTTTTAGCTCTTATCAAAGCATTTGCTTGAAATTAAATTAGAACTTTTGAAATTTGTTTTTAAATGAAATTTGATAAAAATGTGTGCGGGCACACAAATGCTTGGTAAACTTAAAAAAAGTTGATAACTCTGTCAATATTTACTATGCAAAAGCAATAGGACTTTGTTCAAATGAAAGAATTTATCATATTATTTTAACTAATATTTAGAATTTGCGAAAGCGTTCATTTATTCAAATTAGCACAAAAATTGAGCCCTAATTAGAAATTATAAGTTTTTAAAAGTAATATTGTAAATTCGATTGTAATTATTGTTAAGTTATAATTGCAAAAATCAATTGTTTCATTAAATACTTTTCTTATTAATGTAAATTCGAATAAAATTTAAAAATTTTATTTATTCTAAAATTTGAAAATATTTATACCTTGGTGAAGGAAGGACGAGTAATCGGCCATGGTGCGTGCAGAAGAGACGCGAATAAATCACACGAAATCCGCGACTTTTCAGCGGTTGTGCGCCGCATCAACCACCGTCGGCCGACACATTTTTTTTTCTTCGCACACCCGTCGAACTTTTATCACACTGTCACTGAATACGCAGGGCGGGAGAGAGCGCGGCGTGAACTCGCGAGCGGCCAAACACAGACTGAGCCTGAGCGGCGGCGGCCGCGGCCGACAGCTGCTGGGCCACACCAGCCCTTAATCTGCCTCCGGAGCACGCGCATCTCTCCCACGCCGCGCACGCCCTGCCAACACACTCGCCGCCGCCGCTGCTGCATTAATTTAATATTGTATTGTACGGCGGCGGCTTTTTCATCTCGAGCATTTTGTGCAAATAGTCCGTGTACACTCGGGGGTGACATGACGAGCCATGGTTATTTAATTACAGAGTTGTAATTTGTGGCTCATTTCTTTTCTGCGATAAGATCAGCAGTCGGCGAAAATTCGTGAAAGGTACAATGCGTTGGCAAGGGTCATGCGATCTTTACAAGATTTTAGGACCTGAAAGACCATTCAAGGAAGTTTTCAAAAATATATAGTTTTACCCCAATATCTCAAAATTTACGGGTTTTACGGGACGTTCAAAATTGGGTTTTTGGAATTTTCAAACGGCTGTATCTCGGCTTTCCGTGATCGTAAAACAAAAATCCGGGTACGGCTGAATTTCTCTCGTCACCCTCTACAACTTTGCCGTTGAACGCAAAATTGTAGGTCACAGGTCAAGGTCACTTTTGGTGACCTCGTTACCTTTGGCCTCAAATTTGACAACTTGGCACAAACTTTTTTCAAATTCTGAAATAGCCATTATGTAGAACGTCAAATTTTACATAAAAAACGTTCTTAAAAAAAGTGGTATGTATCACAGATTTTTTTTTTTAAAAAATAAGAAACTCAAAAAACGTGGTTTTCCGAGCTCCGGAGGATGAAAATTAGCTTTGAACCTATGTAACTTTTTTCCTGCTAGATTTAGGACAATATGTATAATGACAAAAAGTAATGCCCTTGACTTGTTCTTTTAGGTCATGTATCGCACATAGTGACCAGGTCACAAAAGGTCATTGACCCTGGTGACATTTGACCTTACCACGATATATTTTGCAAGTGTGGCACACGGTTTGAAAGAGCATATCAGAGCATATGAAGAGGAACATTTTGGTTCCTAGAACTTTGTTGTAGCTATACTAGGAGCAGAGTTATCGCATTTTTTCGTGGTAAATTATGAAATTTTTAAGAATAATTTATATTTAAACTGCAATAACTCTGCTCCTAGTATAGCTACAACAAAGTTCTAGGAACCAAAATGTTCCTCTTCATATGCTCTTTCAAACCGTGTGCCACACTTGCAAAATATATCGTGGTAAGGTCAAAGGTCACCAGGGTCAATGACCTTTTGTGACCTGGTCACTATGTGCAATACATGACCTAAAAGAACAAGTCAAGGGCATTACTTTTTGTCATTATACATATTGTCCTAAATCTAGCAGGAAAAAAGTTACATAGGTTCAAAGCTAATTTTCATCCTCCGGAGCTCGGAAAACCACGTTTTTTGAGTTTCATTATTTTTAAAAAAAAAAAATCTGTGATACATACCACTTTTTTTAAGAACGTTTTTTATGTAAAATTTGACGTTCTACATAATGGCTATTTCAGAATTTGAAAAAAGTTTGTGCCAAGTTGTCAAATTTGAGGCCAAAGGTAACGAGGTCACCAAAAGTGACCTTGACCTGTGACCTACAATTTTGCGTTCAACGGCAAAGTTGTAGAGGGTGACGAGAGGAATTCAGCCGTACCCGGATTTTTGTTGTACAATCACGGAAAGCCGAGATACAGCCGTTTGAAAATTCCAAAAACCCAATTTTGAACGTCCCGTAAAACCCGTAAATTTTGAGATATTGGGGTAAAACTATATATTTTTGAAAACTTCCTTGCATGGTCTTTCAGGTCCTAAAATCTTGTAAAGATCGCATGACCCTTGCCAACGCATTGTACCTTTCACGAATTTTCGCCGCAGGTACGTTTGTATTCTTTTTCCGGTTGAAACCGCAAAAACCATTATTTGCAAGCTATGCATTATTAATCTTTAAAAGAAATGAGGCGTATTTTTAAAAAATATGAAATTTAAAATGATATTAAATATTGATATGATACACAAGTTGACGAGGAATTTTATTTCATATTTATTTTTTGCAGTCATTTTCTTTCTACTTAATATTTATGGTTTGGCTGTTTTCATTTGAATAAAGTAATAAACCTTGATTATAATCATAAATCATAACTAAATTATTTTATCTCGTCAAGTTGATTTTTAAAAGCACTGGATTAATTAAAGCTGCGCAACACTATAAGGACTTTGTTTCAAAGCAAAAATAAATAGCTCAGGTACATAATTTATATTTGCTAATAGCGAAAAATTTGAAATAAAAATTCTAATATTATTTTTTCAATTAATTAACTAAAGTAACTAAAAATATTAAATTATTATTTTGTATATTTGAAAATGATAGAATTATTATTAACTTCAAACATTGTTACTATTTAAATTTTTTTTTTAATTATAATTTTTAAATGTATTTCAAGTATTTTATTGGTTTTAATTTTTAGCAAATTCTTAAATAATTTATTTATTTAAAATTTAAATAAAAATTTATAGACCAGTTATAATTACTGTTAAGTAATATTCTACACTGTTGTATCAAATTTACGATAAAATTCACTTTCAATTTGTTATCATTTAAATATTTATATTCGAAGTATATTTATGGTTTTGTAAATTTTTAATCTTTTTGTATTACTTATTAACAACCTTCAATGCTCAGAGGCGCAAAGTAGTTTTTCCAGGACATTAAAAAAGTTAAAAAATAATTTTTGTCTCACCGTGTTTCAGGTCCCGCACAGCAGATAAGTCAATCATCCGCTGCATTTTTGTGTTCGTATTTTTTATTTTATATTTTCAAAAAAACTTTAAAGTTTAAAGTAAAAAAAAGGCGCACTAAAATTCATCCCATTAAAAACTTCCGTGCCTCCTATACATGTTTCACCTAAGACCGCTCGAAAACCACTGGGATTTGCCGGCGAGCGATTCAGCTCCGCCGCAAACTGATAAACGTGCCTGTGTAATTGTGTTTCCTTTAATAACAATTTACATGCCGTTCACACAGTGAATTTGCAGTGAATTTTTCCTTGTGCATCGAATGAGGAAAAAATGAGGAAAAGCGCCACGGCGCGCGCTACGGCCGCAGAAGGAACTCTTTGACGTTTGTTTTGAAAATAGTCCGGGACGCATGGCGGACCTGCTTGCGAGGTTCATCGAGGTCCAAAATCGCCTCACGGCCCCCTTGGCCCCCTTCTTCCTGGGCCAGGAGGGCACGTGTCCCCTCTCAGTGACCTTTGGCAAGCATTTCGTCGCCTATTTTCCGGTGTGGCTGCTCATTTTGGTGCTCCAATGGGCCGCTCTGCACTTGTGTTTTTCCAAAGTGACAAAAGTGAGTTTTTAAAAATGTACCTTAACCTCCAGATTTCATGTAAAAAATTCCGTCAAAGTCTTTTTATGATTTAGAAAAATAACCACTTCATTAAAAATAATTGGAAAGTATCTTTTTCAAGTGAAATTTGCACAATTTTTAAGTAAAAAATTGGAACTTTTGTTTGTGCCCTTCAAAATAAAATTACTTTTTCTTTTAATTCAGGTATTCTTGAGGCGGATGGGTTTGACCCGCATGAGGACGGAGAGGTCGTCGGCCGCCCTTTGGGAAGCGGGCACCGCCCTTGGCGCTGCCATGCTCTGCTCATCACAACTCGAGTCCGTCGACCCGCACACCCTGACCTTGCCCTCTTCACTCGACTGGCCTCCACCCCACCTGACCATGTACCTGTTCGTCCTTGCCACCTGTCAGGCGCAGGGAGTTTTTGCCCAACTCAGGGCCAGAACCTTTGGCACCGAAATCCTGGTCGAGGTCACAAGGGTCATCGTCCTGATTTTTGCTTACTTTGCCAGGTTTTAATGAAAATTTTTGAGTAGTTTTTTAATTTAATTTTAAATATATTTCAGATGGGCTGATTTTGGATTTTTGTTCTGCTTCCACACAAGCGTGATTCAAATTTTTGTCCATTTTGGCCGACTGATCTTGAGTTTTAAGAGGGGTCTGCACTATTTGGTCCTTGTTGTGTTCTTCGTACTGACAGTTTTGTGGTAAATTTGAATTAAAAATTTGATATTCTTCAATGATAAATAATGATAATTTTATTTTTAGGACTGCAAGCTACGCTTACTTTGTGCCTTGGTGGATTTTATTTATTGTCGTAACCCCCATCTTGGATGATGAACTTCAGCTCGCACTGATTTCTCTTTTCGTCGCTTTGACCCTGCATTTTATTTTTGCTCTCTTGTTTTCAGTAAGTGTATTTAAAAATGCTTACATAATACTTATGTGTAATTCACAGCCACTGATCATATCCTGCAAAGGGATATTCCGTCGGAAACCCTTGACGGAGTGGCTCGAGTTGAGCCTTTTTCCGAACATCGATCTCAAACTGACACAGATGAAGAAGGAGATTTCCGAGGAGGAGCTCTCTAGGCACAAGTATTAATTTCCCTGTGTTGTGGAGTGAATGTTTTTTGTACATACATGGTTGTTCTGTACGCTAGCTCACTTAAAAGAAAGAATGCACAAGGCAATGGAAATAAAATTAATCAGGGCAAAGCACTTATGCAAATTCTACGATGTAAGTTTAAGGCTGAAATGAGCACTTAAGATATCATTAATTCAATGAATTTGTCTGAATTTCAGGCTCATCTTTACTAAAAAGAAAAGTTAAAGCAATGAGGGAGCGCAAAGAGTCAACAGGAAGTGATTCAAGTCAAGGAGAGGTCTCGGAGCCATCAGACGACAAGTGAAAAACAAAAATGAAACAAATGTTTGATCTCAATAATTTTTAGTTCCATTTGTATTTATTAAAAAATTAACTGCAGCTACACCAATGGATACAATAATCAAATAAAATATGATTAGGAAATAATTGACGATTGTGTTTGTGTTGACCGGAAAATAAAAAAAGGAAAAATTTTGATGGTATAGTCCCCACGTCCAGGATCTTACAGAGTAAAAATTGGGAACGTGTTTTTCGCGCGCTTTTCATTCAAACAGCAATGTTATGAAATCGAAATGCTCCGTCACATCCTGCCAAATCGAACAACAAGCAACACGCATTGCAGCAGCAGCTGTTATCATTATTTTCATTTCGAGCGTCCCGAGTATTTTGCCCGTGTCAACATGCTGGACTTTTTCACCATCTTCAGCAAAGGAGGCATCGTCCTCTGGTGCTTCCAGAGCACCAGCCAAATTTTCACACCCTCCGTCAACGCTCTGATTCGCAGTGTCATCCTGCAGGTACGCAAAACACCATTTCTCGCCGAATCATAAATTCAACGACCTCTATTGAATTCCATTTTTTTTTTTATCTTTTTCAATGCGTAGATTAAATTTTTTAGTTTGAATTTATACAAACAAGGAAAAAACCAGTCTTCAAAAAAAAATTTCACAGGAAAATTTTCTGCAACTCAATAATTTATGGTTCTTATTTTTGATCCTCTGTTTCAATAAATTATTTTGAATTAATATCACGTGTCCTAAATCTTTAGGAACGATCTGCCGCTAACAACAGCTTCGACCACGGTTCGCTGTCCCTGAAGTACAAGCTGGACAACGAGTTCGACCTGATTTTCGTGGTGGCCTTCCAGAAAATCCTGCAGCTGTCCTACGTGGACAAGTTTCTGAACGATGTGCACCTCGAGTTCCGCGACATGTACAAGAACGAGCTGCAGGAAGGCCAGGTGTTTGGGAACTTTGACTTCTCGTCTGTGTACAAGGAAGTGTTGGCCGGCGCCGAGGAGTGGGCTCGGCTGCAGCAGATGGTGCCGAAGCAGATGAGGTCTTTCGAGGAGTCCCTCAAGTCTAAGAAAACCGTGTCCTCCATGATTGAACGCCCTCACGAGCAGAAGCAAAAGCAGGGTACTTAGGAAGGAAAAATATTTTTTTGGTTGGACAATTTTTATTGTTGACCACCAAGTGGCAAAAAAAATGGGCTGCTGTCCAACCAACTCTTGCTTCTATTATAAATTTTTTCTAATTTGGTTGTGGCTCTTTTTAATCGCAGGTAAAGGAGGCAAAAAGAAAAACGCTTTTGAAGAAGGTAAAGCTACTAACAATATATTTAAATGTAACTTCTAAAAAAATTAAATAATATTATTGTATATAAACCATGATTAGTTTAACTTAATATTAAGTGCTTCATTAAACAGAAGTATTTGCATCTTCAAGAAATGTGTAAATTAAATAACTTCTAAATTTCCTAATTTTAATCCTTTAGAAAAAGTGCCTGAGCTGATTAAGGTACCTGACAGTCCTCCCCTGTCTCCGAAATCAGCCAACGGAGAGCTGGACGAGGAAACTCTGGCGCAGAACCGCATGCGTCTGGCCCAGAAACTTGGCTCTCCTAATGCCAAGAAGAAAGCAGTTGAGAAACAGTGAGATTTCATCTATTTTTATAAAAAAATTAATTTAATTGCATTATTTTTCTCTCTAAGGAAAAGTCCCAAGCCGAAGAAAGCTGGCAAGGCTCCGACTCAGTGGGACTTGGGCGGAACCAACAAGGATGTTGCCAATTTGGAACGAACCAAGGACAGGCCTTCCGACTCGCCAAACACTCCCAACTATGACGCAAGAGTAAATTTAAAACGCAAGGAATTTTTACAAATTTTAAAAATTTACATTCTTAGTTGATTGGTCAAATGGTTGGTGGAATCAAAGACCTTGAGGTTGAGAGCAGTGACGAGGAAGAGGAGGAGGAGGAAGAAAGTGAAGTGCAAATGCAGGTATCAAAGGAGAAGAAATCGGGTGGAATGTTCTCCATTTTCAAGTTAGTAAAATCTCATAATTTTCTCAGGAATTTTGCAATTAAAATTAAATTTTAGGGGGTTGGTCGGCAACAAAAGCCTTTCTCGAGAAAGCATGCAGCCTGCTCTGGAAAAAATGTGTGACCTTCTAATTGCGAAAAATGTGGCCGCAGACATTGCCAAGAAACTCTGCGAATCGGTTGCTGTCAAGTTGGACGGAAAGGCTAGTAAATTTTGTTCTCTCAAAACTATTTATTTACTGGCTGAGCCAATCTCCAAGCCTCTTGCCGTGGTAGGCGTAGAGAATCATCGCGGCGGTGCAGCCGACAAAAACCACATGCTTCAAGTTTGACTCGGTGGCTTTTTTCTCCTCTTCCTTCTTTTCCGGTTCTTTCTGCCGGATCGCCTCCATCAACTGCTCCATGTTCAACTTTTGATCGTTCCAAAGGTCAATGGTCTCCTGCACCTTCTTCATTTGCTCCTTCAGGTCGTCCATGTGTGCTTTTGCCTCCGTGCTGGCGTCCAAGTCCTGTTTTGAAAGGTTGCTCAAGGAGCTACACCTTTTGGTTTCAGGACGGGGAATCCGAGATGGGGGCGTCATTTGAAGGTTTTCTGATCTTTCGATAACAGCAACGCTCAAAGGCTGAAAATTCTCAAATTTCAAACTGCAACAATTGGCGAAATATCAAATTGATCTCTGCAATGTTGAATTTTCAGATGAAAATTTTTCCATTGTTGGATATTAAAAATCCTTAACAAACAAAGATAAATAAAAATTCATGCTATAAAATTAATAAAAAATAAATTAAATTCATGAATTTCAAATAAAAAGGGTATATCAAATATTGACTAAATCTCTTTAGGTGGTGAATATTTTTTATTGTACTTAATTCTATATTCTCATCTATAAAAAATTTACCTTTTTCTTTCATGTGAAACCTGTATTAATGATTTGTTTTGAAATATCTTGTCTGATTAGGTCATAGGCACGTTTGATGGTGTGGCTTCTGTGGTGAAGAACACCCTGAACGAGTCTCTGATCCAGATCTTGTCCCCTCGGCGCCGAGTAGACATTCTTCGTGATGCTCTCGAGTCTCAACGCAAAAATCGTCCCTACGTAATGACCTTCTGCGGGGTCAATGGCGTTGGCAAGTCCACTAACTTGGCAAAGGTAAAATTAATGAAATTATTATTATTATTTTTTTACATTTCTTAAATTATCTGTGAGCAGATCTGCTTTTGGTTGATTGAGAACAATTTCCGCGTGCTGATCGCCGCTTGCGACACATTCCGAGCCGGCGCTGTGGAGCAACTTCGCACCCACATGCGCCACCTGAACGCCCTGCACTCTTCTGAAATGCACAACGGCCAGCAAATGGTGCAACTCTACGAAAAAGGATACGGTTTGTTTTGAATGTAAGATTTAAGAAAGAAATAAACAAATTTAAAAAAATTTCAGGTAAAGATGCAGCTGGCATTGCTATGGAGGCCATAAATTTTGCCAGAGAAGCCAGAATTGACATTGTCCTTGTTGACACTGCTGGCCGCATGCAGGACAACGAACCTCTGATGCGAGCTCTTGCCAAGGTAAGAATTTAAAATTTATTTATTCTAACGGTTTTTAAATTTTATAAAAGTTCCAGATTAATTTAGTTACTTATTGAAGGTTTTAAATAATTTATATTCATTAAATTTTTTCTGGATTATTATCTTTTAAAATCATATACTGATGATTCAAATTCTTCTTTCCCAGTTGATCAAAGTAAACGACCCTGACTTAGTCCTCTTCGTTGGTGAAGCCCTTGTGGGCAACGAGGCTGTCGACCAACTGGTCAAATTCAACCAAGCCCTTGCTGACTATTCTGCAACTGACAATCCTCACCTCATTGACGGCATTGTCCTCACCAAATTTGACACCATCGATGACAAAGTATTATTTTTATCAAACCCGTGAACTTAAAAACTGATCTCAAAAATCTCTGACAGGTTGGTGCTGCCATTTCCATGACCTACATCACCGGCCAGCCGATCGTTTTTGTCGGAACCGGCCAAACCTACACTGATCTCAAGTCCCTGAACGCAAAGGCTGTGGTCCATGCACTTATGAAGTGATTTCAGCCCTGGTTTTTAATCAAACTTCGTCTTTTACTTGCGTCGGGAACTGCTACATGCATAAGTTGGTTGTTTTAAAAGCTTATTATTGGTTTGAAGGTTGAGGTGGCCTGTTTTATTCATTACTTTTTGTTAACAAAATTGAATAAAAATTCCATAATATAAATATTCACTTCAAATGTGTGTGTTTCATTAATTCTCTAGAAATTCTTAACAGCTTTCAAATCTTCTTCAGTGTTACATTGAGAGAAAATAAATGAACTTGTTAATCACAACTCCTCTCAAGCTGAAAATGAAAGTCCAGCACTTTTTTGCTTCTCAGCCATTCCAGAGAATTCCCTGGTGTGTCAGGCCAAGCAACTTTTATTATTCACAGTGATGGGCCCAGGGCACGGGGAAAGTAGATTGACGGCGTTGGGAGATAAAATGCAAAGTGTGTGTGACACAACTCTGACTCCTTTCAACTCCAAAAAGAATAAAAATTCAAATCAGAGGAAAAAGAGCAAAGTGAATAATGGGGAATAATCAGCTTGTGGTGATTCATTTACCAGTGTGTGTGCAACCCAAATGATGCAACCAGTGCATTAATAATCTGTTAGTTGCAGGAATCGGTTAGACCGCCGCGGGTGACTTTCGAGGAAATTGATCTTTGTGGCCGCGTCTGCGATGCGAGTTCGAGAAAAATCACTGCGTCCGTTATAGCTACTCAGAAAGTCAACTCCGAGATTTATTACTTAAATTCAAATAAGTAGCAGTTGCTTCTAAGAATAGATTTATTAGGAACATTATCGCGTATCGCGGCCAGAAAGGGAAACAGACGAACGAACGCACTTTAGCCCTGAAACTCTATGTGATAATATGAAGTTTGCATTAAAACCTGTAAATTTATTTCTGGCGCCGAGAGATGGAAATTGATGATAATTTGAAATGTCTAGAGGACTAAATTTTACTTTATTTATGGTGTTTATTTTAAAAAGATTCTGGTTCTTAAAAAAAAAACATTTAAAAATATTGACAATTGTATTTTTATATGACGAAAATAAAACAAATACTTAATTTATTTTTAGATACAGTTTTTAAATTTGAAAAATTGTGAAGAAAATTAAAAATAATTGCTATAATTTCTCTTTAAATGCATTACTAAAAAATTGGAAATTGCAAGCAATTGACTTCTAAGATTTTAGTCCAGGACTGGAATATTTTTCTTTTCACGTGTCTTGTGAAAATGACAACAATATTTTGAAATCTTGACTGGGAAACCTATTGGTTGGATTATTGCATTTTCTGATAATAGAATGAATCAAAATTAATTCAGGCAGTGCAGGAAATGTTAAGGCAGAACCAGGAATGACATGCTAATTTTGCGAGTCGTGACTCTTCATCGTGCAAGGAAGCGCGCACATATTTTTTTGGCGAAGATCACTATATATTATTAGCTTGAGGTTTCCGTTTCATTAGCAAAAATCGAGGCATTGACTCGGAGGCCGGTCATTTTAGACTTTAAGAGGCGTACGGAGAAGTAGAAAGTGAAATGAAACACACGAATCTGGAGCGCGTTTCGGAATAAAATTCGCTTTTTGTCCCTTCTCGGCAGCAAGTCATCGCACTCAAAGGAAACGGCCACGTCAGTATGTTATTTAGTATTTCTGCCAGAATTTTTTCATTAACAATAAAATTGCAATCGTGATTCAACTCGCGTTTTAACGAGACACCTTCTTTATTCGGCTCACATATAATACAACCTGCAATTGAGCTAATTTACAACTTTTAATATACAAACTCTTGAGAAACAAGATCTTGTTTTATTCAAAAGTTAGCAACAAAGCAGCGTGCAAGTTGTTCATATATCATTATACACACTTGATGTTTATTTTAAAATAATGTGAAAATAAATGCAGGAGAGTGTGAGTGCGCGACGAAAATGATGAAAATAATAGGACAAGGCTTTGTTTGGAGCCGGTCGGCGCCACAATGGACGAAAAAAGCCAAGTCTCCTAAGTGGCTGCGAGAGAGACGCTGCTTCCTCGCTGTCAAAAGAGCAATTGTTCTCGGGTTAAATAATTGAAACCCGTCAGGACGTGTTTTTCTCATCATGTTTCGCTCATTTAAAAATTTCAATAGAAGACATTTTCTAATTACTCCATTAACAAAAGAAACGCACATCGATCAAATAGGATAGGAAAAAATATTAAATTATGAGTTTGAGAGTTTCAAAATATCAGGTTGTAAATTTGCAATAGAGTATAAAAGAAAATAGAGAGGGCAATAAAAGAAAGAGGAGTTTAACATTTGACTCTGCGGTTGAAAATCAAACGGTCAAGAACATTAGAATGTTGAAGTATGATTTATTTCTTGAGGCAACAGGAAAAAAATTATAAAAAGCAGTGCATTTTTCTATGAAAAGATACTTTCATCCACAAGTGCATTAGCGAAGGAAAGCCGCCGACGATTGGAATTTGCGTGAATTTATTAATTTCGTCTTCGCATATAGAAAGGAAAACTTTCCTACGCATTGACATCGTGTCTTGAAATGCGATGAGTGTGAAATGAGTGCAAATGGAGACACCTTGCTCGCTTTGGAAACTGGATCGAGCATCTCCGCGACTGTCCGATCGCATAATCCGCGAGTCAATGTCACTGCCAAGAAAGGAGTTAATTAACGTTCGGTTTTATTATTAGAAAATGGTTGGAAGAAAGATTTAAAAAGTGTGGATGAAATCATCGGCGGTTTTTGACTGCCTTCCCACACCGGATCGAAATTCGTGGCACCTTTCACATTCTGCCTGAAAAGTAAAACTTGCGATAACGCGTTTTCTAACAAGTGTCCAAATAAATAGGAGCGGATGGCGTCGCGGGGACCACGCTAATTTGAACACACGGTATAGAAAATGAGCACCATGCTGTGCTCGCGAAACGCCAGCTGCTGCGCGCAAGCAAAATAATTGCACTTGAAAAATAAGGTCGTGTTCAACAAGCGTTGATTGAATACAATTATTATGACAGCATGTAATTTACTTCTTCTGCGACTTGTCCGCTAATATTATAATTATGTTTCTTTTTATTTAACTGTTAAAATTGGTTTTTATTTTATTTAGATTAACATTTTATATTTTATGTATTTTGTGAAATTTTTGCTGAATTAAAAATAAATAAATACATCAGAGAAATAAAATAAATAGATAATTTATTTAATCAGTCTGAATTCTGAATGATAATTTTATGATTCAATTGTATCTTAATTTTTAAATAATCTATAAACTTAATTGAACTTAATATTCATTAGTTCAATGGCATCACATCATAATTAAATCAAATAAATAAAATAGATAATGGATTTATCTTCTTTCTTTTAGGAGCAAATAGTAGTATGAACATTTAAAGCTATCAATATGTTTGAATACAGTTAAAAATTCAAATTGGGATACAACCTTGTTGAAAATATGATAAAAAAATGAAATTTAAAATAATTGGGTCAGTTGTCCCTTTTTATTATCAAGCACAGTTGTTGAAATAGATATGAAATATAAAATTTAATTGCTGGCTATTATATGGTGTCTATTAAAGCTCATTGTGTGAATTGCCTTCTTTATATTAAAAAAATCCAAAACACCTGCAGGACAGTCTCTTACTGACCTCCTGCATTTCCGCCGACATTTCTCTTTTTCAATCACAACCGAAATCAAAGTGCATTCATCTCTCGCGAGTTTCGACACCGGCGTTGCACTAAATAAAACGCGCGCGTATTATATAACGCCGGTAAACAAACACAGGCCGCACACAATATAATCTTATACACACGTTGGCGCGACGCGATTGATTTGTGGAAACAAGGCGGTGCAGATTTAAGATTTAGCCCTGAGGAGAGAAACAAGCGAGAGATAGTGAGACTGACAGACACAATTCGTTCCAGGAGCGAGGTGCAGTCGTTGCATAACACGCGATTGTCGTGCAGGTTTTAATTGTACTCGCGCACCTGAACGAATTGCATCTCCTGCCGCGCCTTTGGTGCGATGCATAATTAACTCGCTTTCGGCGTCTTTTTGTTTCCGGAAGCCGTACTTGGACCAAGAAAAAATGAGACTGATAAATTTTCTTTTGTGTATTAAGCTAGCAGGAGCTGAATTTTGAATTAAATCTCATTTTTATAATCGAGTTGCCTTATCGGGGGCACGCGCAGTTGGGTAACATAAATGTAAGGAAACAGGTCTTGACGCAATTAGCATGCTAAGTGCACCTGTGAGCTCTTGGTAAAACGATAAAGTAATGCCGCGTGTTTACACCTGTGAGAATAACACAACATAAAAATTAATTAGATTTTTGGCTTCGGCGCCTTTGTGTTCGTGCAGCGATCGCCGCTGTTTTTTTTTTCTTTTTTGGTGCAATAAACTTTTACACTCGCTTCCCATTTACAAATGAGAATTTCACCGATTTCGCACGTTTTCAAAATAACTATGAACAGTTTAAAGTTCATACAGAGACTACAACGCACGATTTGGAGTTTATGCCTATATTTTTAAACTAGAACTGGAATAAATTATAAAATTTGTGGACTCACGGTTCAAAAAGTGATTAATTGTTAAGGTTAGAACAGCCTATAGAGCATGCTTGTTCTTGACACAAAACTGCCCAAGAAAAATCTAAAATTCATGCAATTATTTTTTTTTATCAGATTGTGAATGAGTTTATACGCAATGAAAATGATTGAATATTATCTTATAAACACAAGATTGCTGAAAAATATTTCATAATCATGCAATATTTTATGAATAAAACATGCAACACATTAAATATCAATTCACATGCAAACAAAGTACCAAGCATCTAACAATTAGAATATTAAACAGATGTGCCATACACCTAACGAACTATTGGCTTTTCAGTTAAATTAATTTAAAGCGTTTGTATAATTTTCAATAAAATTTAGCTTTGAAAATGTTATTTAATTTTGTCAAAAAAAAAATTATTTTTAAATATTAAAAAACTTAAAGATTTTGCATAGTAAAATTAAAAGTAAATAAAACATTATAAAAGTTAAATTTTAGTACATATTTCTTTAAATCCGTAATTAAATTATTTTATTATGCAGCACTGTTTTTCCTTTTAAAAATGTGTAAATCATACTCGTAAGTTTTCACATATGACTCTGACGTTTGGGTTGTATTTTCCATGACTAAGAGTCTCGCGCGCGCGCAATAATTGCCAGGTTTTAAAACGAGGGTCATGACACGAGTTTCTCAAAAGGATCCAGTTCACACGTGAATCACATTGCAATTTTGCATAACAATACAGGCGGTCTGGTACACCTGGGAGATGTTTTGCGTTGCATCATAAAACGCACACTCTCAAATTTAAGCGTTTGTTACGCCGCATCCTATAATAATAAAATTGCGAGTCGTTATGCTACATTTTAATGAGGAGAGCAAACGAACCTACGCACACGTGACGAAACCTTCCAATCGACGTAATTGCGCTTGTAGAGAGATCAAAAGCGCGCTGATTGTGTTTTCGTTATTCAAAATCAGAGGCGGTCATCGAAAGAAAGTTGGCTCTCCAAATCAACAAGACGAAATCCATTTCGACCAACAAGAGCCAAAACATTTCCTGTCTCTGGGATTTTTTAATCAAGGTGCGTTGTTTCCGCGAGAGAGAAAAATATATTCCGAAGAAAGCTCGAGTTTGAGCGTTTAGCACTCGCTATTTTTCTTTACTTTTTTGTCCACCTGGCTAATTAAGCATTCAGCAGCCGAATTTGCGTGTGACTCTCAGGTTAATTCACCGGGTGGGGGAAACAAAGGGCACTCGCACATCGCACACCAAATAATGGAGCTTCTTTCTCCGCGCGGCCGCCATCACCCGGCCAGGAGAAAGGGCTGCCGCCGTATATAACAAGTTTGGGCGCCCGCCGCGCACCTCACATCACATACATCACGCGTGCTAACACCATGTCATTCGCAGTAAGTACCATTTTTTCAAGCACTTTTTATAAATCCTGTTTCGGGAACGAGTTTCAGTCATTGATTTTTTTAACTTTTAAAACTTGAACATTTTATTGAACTAGTTACGTTTCATTTAAAATGAATTGAATTGAAAAAAATGAACAAAAAACATTTTCAATCACGCAACGAGGATGCGGCAATATTTTGACAGTTAGAGAGTTCATTGTTTAAGTTACTGGTATAACAGAGCAAAAAGGTCTAAGATTAAAAATAGTTCATTTATGTCACATTCAACTTTCTTCCTTTATGCTTCTTCCTTAGTTCAAAACATAATAAAATAAATCATAATGAAATAAATATTAATACTTGAATTTATTGTTAGGTAAAAATGACTATTAATTTTTATTTTCTTTCTAAAACCCCTTTTTGGATTTATTATATAGAGCCAAAAATAGGGCAAATTTTGTATTATTATTTAATCAAAAGCTTTAAAGGATCAAATTTTCAAATTAAATTTCCAGTTATATTACAATATAATATGAGATACACTGATAAATTAAGAATAAAGCATTTTAAAAGGAAATACAGGAGTTCATAATTTTTGATTCGATTTTAAAAAAAAAAATTCATTTCCGTATCAAATAAATTTTGCAAGCCAACAAGAACGATCTAGAACATTACCAGGAAGTTTTCATTTTTTTTTAATAAGTAAGGATTATAAAAAAAAAATACTTAAAACTTTTAGAAGGAATAACTAAGATTTTAGTTACTACTTTTGTAATTTGCAATGTTAAATAATGAATAATGAAACGATTAAAAACAAATTTTTTATTTCATTATTTATCATTAAAAAATAAATCTGATTAATTTATAAATTTATAATTAATTCATTTTCAGCAAAAACTCAGCTTGGCAATGTTGCTGCTGTGCTCAGCAGTGAATGCAGAGGCTCCGAAGAAGCGGACAGTGGTATCATCCCCATCCGGTTACGAACCCTACACCTCCGACGGCTCCAACTTCAACGGCCGTTTCGCGTCCTCCGCAGGTTTCGCGTCACCCTCTTACGCTGGATACGCTTCCCCCTCCTTCTCCTACGCACCTGCCGGCTACGCAAGTCCTGCAGCCTACAAGGCCTTCACCCCCTCCATCCCCTACACTGAGAACACCTTCAGACCTTCCTCGTACTCGGCAGCACCCTCGGTCGCCTACACCAGCAACCCTGTCCAGGCCTCCTACAGACCGGCCGCCGCCACTTACACGTCCCTGCCAGGGTACGCCAACAACCTGGCCGGCCTTTCTGCGTACAGCAACGGTGCCCAGTTCTCCGCAGGTCTCAACCCTGGCATTTTCAACCTGGCCGGTCTTAACTCGTACTCTGGAGTCTCCGGACTCGAAGGGTACGGAGGTTTCGGTGCCTACAACCCTTCGGACGCCCTGGGCGCCTACCCTGCTGGATTCAGACAACAGCAACAGGCCTACCCTCAGCAGGTGGTTTATGCCCAACAGGGCTCTGCCTACCCCCAACAGGGTTCTGCCTATCGCCAACAGGATTCTGCCTATCTCCAGCAAGGTGCTGCGTTTCCCCAGCAGGCGTACCAGCAGTCCTTCTCCTCACCTTTGTCCTACAGCGCCTCTGCCCCTCTCCAGCAGCGGCTAGTCGCCCAGGCCTCCTCCAACAAGGTCGGACCTGCCACCTTCGGCGCCCACGGAGGTCAACCTACCTCCGCGGCCTCTTCTGTCACCAACGGAGGATACGGATTCATCAGGCCCAACTCTAATTAATTTTATATTTATTTGTCTGAAACTTTTAATTTAATCTTAATTTTATTTGTCACCCTTTGAAATCTTTCGACTTTTGCTTTGAATTTGGCTCTGTCTAAGTGTAAGAATTTCCCGTTTTTTATAAAGAGAAACGAGGATAATTGTTAGTAGACCAGCCTTTAAAAAGCTCTCATCGTTCATACGCATGGCCATCTAATTGTACCATCTGTCTCATATTGTAAATTTCATTTTTCTCATCATCACGGCACGACTGCTTTTTAATTTAATTAATCGCCTGTAACTTAATTACTGAATCGCTCTCCCTCGAGAGCAATTTTTTGTAATAATAAAAACGAGCGCTGTAAGCTGCAAAGAGTTTCGCGTCATTAATTTAATTCCTTCCCACACATGACACGAGAATTGATAGATAGACAGGGGAAAGGGATAAATTCAGGATTAGCTCTCTGTGGCCAGTCGCGGAGAAAGCACAGAAGAGTAGTGCGCGACAAGTGACCCAGTTGCTCGGGGCCCCGCCCTGTGCGAAGGTCAATAACTGGATCCTTGGCCGTCGCACAGCTCTTTCCGCCCGCCGCGAGTGAAATGCAGACGCTTCTCCTTTCGTTTTCAGAGCCGGCAGCGGTCACCACGCGTTACGCCATTGTTCGGCCATTCGAGGCCCGCGTGAATATGTAAAAAAACTGCGAATCCATCATCCTAATAGCTGATATTATCTTCTGACAGCCAAAGATCAAAGGGAAATTTTATTGCTACTCTTCGCAGATCCATTTTGGCTTTCGCAGCCAAAGGTGAAAACGCTCAGATCGTTCCCCGAAAACAAAACGCGCGCTGAACTTCTGCAATAATAATTATAAAATTGCTTCCGAGCATTTCACTTTTGGCAGCTGCAGCTGAATCATAATTGTGGGTTTATCCGGAAATATAAGAGAGTTTATTTAAAAATTCCCGTGGATGTAATTTTCAGGAATAATATAGTGGGAACTGATTAATATTAGATTTGTATGACCTGTAATGCTATTTTTTACCTGTTTTCAAATTTGTGCTGTTAGAAAAACTAAGAGGTTTTGAAACTGAAACAAGAATCTATTTTTTATGAGATTTCCACCCATTGTTAGTATATTATTTAAAGTAAAATGTAAAGGATTTAAGTTGTTTAAATAGGTTTTTGAATTCTTATTTAATTTATTAAAAAGAAGACTAACGTAATATTATTTATTGATCAAAACAATTACATTTTGTTTGTCATTGATATTTACAAATTGATTATAATGAAACAAAATAAAATACCTTTTAATAATTAATTTTAATAAAGAAGTTAATGATTTTTTTTTTTATTTCAAATTTAACTTTATATTAAATTAAAAAGTTATTTAATTATATTTAAAGTAAAAGATTAAAACGTGATTAATTTGTTATTTTTTTTTATCTTTCATATATGGAATAAAAAAGATTTTATTTCAATTTTTATCAGTAAAATTTTTTCACATTTATCAGCTTGCCTTCCGTTAGGTGGATTAGGTTTATCTCAAAATTTACTCTTTATATAACGTAGGCAAGCCATCTATTTGTAAATGATGCTCATATTTTTCACCAATTAAGAAAAAAAAATGAGCAGTGTCTTCCAAATGAGATGAAACTTAAATTTTACGAAGTTGTAAAATATCAGCAAGAAAGCTAATCTTCATTCTCTAAAAATGACAATACATAGCGACTTTTCAGCTTGTGTAGCGCAACTGCAGCCAAGACATGAATATAGTCGTGCTGATATTTTCTATACATTTTGTACGCCTTTAAATTCTAGCTATCAATTGAATAGCATAAAAAAAGTTATTTAAAAAAAAAGAATCTTTTAATTTTAAAACCTGTGTCTTGCTTAAAATGCTAGTTTTCATTAATTTTAAGTCTCTGAGCTTGTGTTTATCACAAAGAAAATAAATTTGAAATATGTTTCTTCCCATCAATTATTTTGCTCAACATAGAGCAATAATTTCTAAATCTTTAATATAAAATGTCACCATTTTTTAATGGAGCTAGAAAAAACCATCTTGCAATATTATGATTAAATCAATTATATCGTAAAAATAAATTAGTGTTGCAAGACAATTAAGACAGCGGCTTTTAGTCTCACGTCAGCTAATTGTCATCTCCATTGAGGCCATTTGCACCGACGAGTGCAAATAAATCCGCCCAGAGCACGGTGATTTGATCTCTGCGGTCGATTTGCGAGACCATCCATGGGAGAAATGAGTGCGTCGTAATTATCTCGCTAATCACCATCGGCCAGAGAGTGACAGATTGATTGCCCAGCAAGCCTAGAGTTGTTATAACGATTCGCACGCGCATCAATAAAAAAAAGATAATTGCGTGATGTGTGTGCACTCGATTTGCAATAAGTGACCCTGCTTTTCACCTGCGCGAGAATCCATCATCCCACCTCTCTATTGTTAGGAGAAATCGCTTGCCGGGTCGTAAAATCCAAGCAAAATTTGAGATTTGAATAACCGGCCTGCATTGTTCGCGTCCGGCAACAAAGCAACCGCACCCTTGGCATTGCGAACACGTCGGAGCCGCGGGGCTGGGAGAAAGCCGCAGAATGTCTCGTCTTGTTCTTGTCGTCGGTGGAAATGAAAGCGAAATTAGACCGAGGAGGAGTCATTGGATGGCTGGAGTGCTGCAGCCCGCGCGACACAGCACTGCATGCGGGAGCCTCGATTACCGCGGCCTACGGGGATGCAGGCGAGAAACTAGACCTCCCGCCCAAGTATAAATATCTCGTGGTTCGTCCATCAGGCATCATTCCCATCCACCTCACCTCTCACAACACACACAACCTCATCATGAAGACTTTGGTAAGTCCTGAACGATATATATCTTACGATGAAATTGAAGGTTTCAGCATTTCTTTCTACAAAGGCCGGAATTACTAAAAATGGAAATAATTTTTTTATAAATTCTAGCATTTCAATTTCTCTTTACTGAAATCAATAATTTTCTTGAGTTGAAAAAAACCCTTGTGAGTTAAAATACTGTAGAAATTAAAAAAGAACCAGTGATGTAAAATTGACACCATTCTTTGCATTGTCTGGAGTTGAAAATTTTATTGTGCTCGCAAGGTTAAGACGAGTTTAAATGGCCCAGAGTCTGAGGTAAACGGAAGCGACACGCTTTGTTGCGTCTGCTCCAGATTTGCGAGTAGGCGCACTTTAAGAGTACTGTTTTCATATGTTCATTGTTCAGAGTAGAAGATGTAATGCACGCTTTCGCTTTAAATCTTCAATTCATTTAAACGCAAACTTAAAATTAAAATCCAGCATGAATTCCCCATTTAAAGTAATTTATTATTAATATTTTTTTGTAACTTTTTAACACCTTCCAGAAAATTACGATGGGCAAGAAATCAATTCAAAATTAAATGAATTTGTAAAAATTGCGTTCATTAAAGTCTCCAGTTGGTGCCACTTTTCTATAACTTATTTTTATTTTTCATTTTTTCCCTTCAGGTGGTCTGTCTCTCCGTGCTCGCCGTGGTGGCTTGCGACAGCGGCATCAACCCCGTCTCATCATCATCCTCCTCTTCGGCGGTGTCCGAAAAGGACAAGCGTGGCGTGGTGGCCCCCGCCATCGCCACCCCCGTGGCCACCTCTTACGCCGCCGCCCCCGTGGCCTACCAGCAGGCCGCCTACGCTGCCCCCGCCACTTACGCTGCCGCCCCCGCCGCCTACTCTGCCCACCCTGCTGCCTACGCCGCCCAAAGCGCGTACGCCGCCCCCGCTGCCTACTACCAGCAGCCCTACGTGCAGGCCGCCCCCGCCGCCTACCACGCCGCCCCCGCCTACCAGTACGCCCAGGCCGCCTATCCCCAGGCCGCCGTTTACCAACAGGCCGCTGCTTACCCCCAGACCGCCTACTACGGCCAGCACGCCGGCATCGCCCAGCAGTACTTTGCCGCCCACCCTGCCGCCGCCTCCGCGTACGCCGCCTCCGCCGTGCAGCCCCAGTACTACGCTGCCCCCGCTCAGCAGTACTACCAGCCCGCCGCCGCCCTGAGGGCCGCCTACGTCCAGCCCCAGGTCGTCAAGACCGCCGCCCCCGCTGCCTACGTGCAGGCCGCCCCCAGCGCCTACGCCACCCAGTACGTGCAGCCCGCTGCCGCCGCCGTCGTGCGTGCCACCCCCGCCGCCTACTACAAGAACTAGGGGAATGGTGGGAGCCCTTCGAGAGATCAGCCACTAGTCATCCTTCCGTGCACCATCACTGTTTTGTGAATATCTACGCCAAATATTTGCAAAGCTGCCATCCATCATTGTTACAAAAGTTTTGTTGCCCAAAAAGAAATAAAAATGTTCATTTTTTATTTTAAAAAACAAAATGACTGGAAATTTAATTAAAAACCTTAAATTTCACATACGCAATTGGAAATGTTTACTGATAATTATGTAATTGAAACCAAAGCAGTAAAAGATATAATTGACATGAAAAGAAGATATACAAATGATGAATAAAAGGTTTACATCCTGAATGGAATTATAAATGCAAAAATTCAGGGTTCCTTCTGGATAAGGCTAAAGAAAGTAATTCAATTATTTTTTCTTGCCGCAAATTTTTTATCAGACGAGTGAGAAAATATTGCAACTAGGTTAAAAATACTCAGTAAGAAAACTGAAATATTTGCATCCGATCGCGATCGTTGAACTCTCTTTGCAAAAAGAAATTCTGCCTTTCACCGCAGAGCCGTCTTTTTTCCTGCAATAAACCGCATTATTCGAGACACCAGAGCAAACGCGGCTGTAATGAGACTGGGCGGATCAAAGCGAATCTGCCTCTCACACTGGGTAATGCTGCTGTAACCAAGCACCTGTTTGTCAGTTACATGATGAGCTTCCATTCAGCTAAAAATAATTTTCAAATCATTTGAAACGTTAGTTTTATGATGAAAATTTCATTAATTTTATCGTTATGTGACGTTGCCTAGAGGAAAAAAAACAAATAAATTAAAATTATTTTTATCATCATTTAAAATTGCTAAGTTTTTTCTGAGAGGCTTCAAGCTACAATAGTTTAAGTGTATTATTTGGCAAAAACGTCTTGTATTAGAAACTTTTCTTTTTCCGCCTCTGCTCGTGAATCAAATTATTAGTCTATGCGTTTCAGGCCCTGTTTACCCGTGAGTGCAGCCAGCCAAACATAACTATCCAACAAACCATTAAGTTAATAATTTATTATCTCTAATGATCTCTAATAGAATTTTAGTGATCAAAATGAAATTTAATGAAGCGCTTAAATTAAATCGTCTATATTAAGCTTTTAATGGAGAATAAAATAACACATTTTTATCTGGAATAAAAAAAAAATACTGTTGATCTTTTTAACAGCAACAAAAAATTAAACAACGAAAACTTTCCAAAAAGTTGTAGGAACTTTTACATATATGCATATGGCATTTCGTGCTGACAATGGAATACAAAGTATTTGATTAACTATTTGACGCTGCTGCTGCTGCTCAAGTGGAGCAAAGACTTGCACTCGGCTCGATGGACACGGATGAAAAGCAGGTGGGAAGAAAGCTCACTTTGTTTCGCACAATGAGTCGAATTAAAAATTGAAAATGAAATTTAGGCTTTTTACTCGGGAAGCGAATATAATGATTTTGGCCTTTCACTGTCAACACAGAAGCTGCTGCCGCTGGAATTGGTGTGAACAACGACCGTTTTCGCGAGAGATGCTTTCTCGAGACGGAGATCTGTATGCGCGCGCGATTGAAATAATGAGATGAGCCGTTGACCAGAACTCTATGCATTATTAGATTCACACTTGGTTGCTTGTGCAACAATCGCGTGTCTAAATGCACCTTTCGAAATCACTGCTCAATTATCCGCCCTGCAAGCTCGCGACTAATTTTGAGCTAATATTTCTGAAACACACCTGGAAAACCCACCAACATTCAGGAAGGATGAACGATGTGACATCATAGGTACCGTGAAATACGCAGGGATAAACGTCTGGGTGCACGCACGCGTCTGCTCCAGATGAGTCGCGTGCGCGGTAAAATTCCATTGTCTCTCTTGCCGCGTTGCTAAATGCTAAACGCCGCCTCTTGTGATTTATCCGTCCTTTCGCCAGAAGAAGATGTGCACTTAAGGTGGGAGGCACCGCAAGCTATAAATCTGCCGCTTAACTTGCAAAACTGTCACTCTGCCTCCAAAATCATCATGCGCCACACGGTATGTACATTGCATCATTTAAAAATTAAAATACTTAAAATAGAACTTGGGAAGAAATAATTTATATTGGCTTTTTTTATTTGGCTAGGTGGTAAATTTCGATTTATTTTTACAAAATTCTTGTATAAAATCATCCACAATTTTAAATGTCGTTAAATAACCTAGACAAGCGCATTAATTTTTTTAACTAGTGAAGTGTTTTAAATAAATATATCATTATTTTTTAATGTTATAGCGCAAAATATACTTATTATAATTTGAATATATATGCAATTAATAAAATTATTGAAAAATATTAAGTATTAATTCAAATTTAGAGAAAAAGTAATAAAAATAACAATATTATTTTAAATATAAATTTGCAATAAATTTACTAAAACTTAATATGAAAAATGTTCAAAAACAGTGTTACTTATAATAAAGATTACTTAACTTTTATTAAAATAAAAACTTAACTAATTACTTAATTACATTTAAATAATTACTATCTCATTTTAATAATATGGTTTAATTATATGGCAATAAATTCATATACTCAACTAAATTTCCAGCTGTGGATGCTGAGCATCTGCGCCTTCATTTGCGTCCTAGCGACCGCGAAGGCGCAGGAAAACCACAGAGACGTGCACAGACATCACTTATTTCGCTCGCGAATCAACAAAGTGCGAACCTCCCCTGCTCCATCGACCACCCCTGAGCCAATCAGCAGCACCACCGAAGCTCCTTCCACCACTGAAACCCCTGCAGCCAAGGAATTGATAGAATCGACCAACTCAACTGACACTCAGGAAATCGTGCTTTCGCCAAGTGAATCTTCCAGCTCGAACACATCAAGCACGGCGGAAACACCAAAGGCCGAGAAACTTTTCGGTCTGCCCGACCTGAGAACGCACCTTTTGGCGCAGCAGCAGCGACAACAGCAGCTCGCCTTTGCTGCGATCAGGGCAGCTACTCAGACGCCTAACTTTGGCCACCCCTTCCAACAGGCCTCGGTGTCCGACCTGCAGCAGTTGCTCGCCCTCATGCAACAGGCGCAGCAAGGCAACCAATTCACCTTTTACTCTCCACAGCAGCCTCAGCAGTTCGGATTTGGGCCCACGGCCGGAACTAGTGGTGCCCAGCAGGGTCTTTACCAACAGCCCACCTACCAACCCACCCCTGCGTTTTTCGCCCCCAACCCCTCTCAATACGGTCAGCCTGGCCAATCCTTCGAGGGAGCGATCACCCTCCCGTACAACCCCCCACCTACCCCTAGCTTCGTTTTTCACAACGGTGCCTATCACATTCAGGGCGGTTCCGCCGTGACCCCAGCCGGGCCTCAGCAGCAGCTCCCTGGACCTGCACCAACTAGGTTTTCGGTGGGCACCCCTGTTCTCTCCGGACCAGTCGGACCGTCCATTCAAGAACCTCCGCAGGAAGTGCCTCGGCCTCCTGGTCTTTACGTGAATCGTCCTAACAGACCATCGAACCTGCCTCCACCCTCACCCCCTCCCCTTCCGCGGCCACCCCAGTTCTCCAATACGGTTTTCCAAAGCTCGGGAGGACAAACTTTCAGCACGCCTTTGCAGCTCCAACCCACTTTCACCACCCAACAGCAAGATCAGCAGCCACCCTTTGGTCCAGCTCAGGGTCAGCCACCCTTTGGTCAAGCTCAAGGTCAACAACCTTTTGGCCCAGCACAGGGTCAGCAACCTTTCGGGCCAGCTCAGGGTCAGCAACCTTTCGGGCCAGCTCAGAGTCAACAACCTTTTGGTCCTGCTCAGGGTCAACAACCCTTCGCTCCACACAAGAATCAACCACCCTTTGTGCAACCGCCACCCTTTTTGCAGCAACAGCCAGGCTCTCAACAGCAGCAGTTCTTTAACTCTCAACAAGATTTTCCGTCCCAACAGCAACCACCGTACCCCAACCAGGCGGCAGGTGCAACACAATTTAACACCCCGTTCAGCAGAACGCCCGTGTTTTTCCCTCCGGCACCACCCCAGGCGTTCACGAAAGAAACTAAGGACGTTCAGGCTGAAGAGGTTGTCGATGAAAACGAAGTCAAAGAAGAAAAAGAAGCCTCCACCACCTACACATTCGTTAAGAGCTATTAAATTTAATTAATTAATTCGAAATATAGTCTGAAAGTTTCCTCTCTGCGCCAAACAAAATGTTGAAAACTTGAGAAGAGTTAATTTAATTTATGTAATTTTAGATAAGAATTAAGAACTTAATAAATAGTGATTTAGTAGTACAAATAATTAATATTGACGGAATTTTCTTTCAATTTGCAACCGAATTAAATTTTAAGAGGTCTTAAGGTAGCGCCATCTAGTGCCTCAGCTATTTGCTCTTTACTAAGATTCGCGTTGTACGCCACGGATTGAAAGCGCTGTAATCATTGATCTCGTTGAAAGGCTTTCTTGCCTCTCTCCGAAAGGTGGTGCTATGCTCTTCTTTCCCTGAGGCATCAAATTAAAACGAGAAACGAAATCATAATATTTCATTTAAATAATACTCTTTTACTATCACAATCAGGGCATCACAACTAATTTATATATGATTTCGTTTTACTTAGCATAGTTTTAACCCAAACTTAAGTTCTGCTGAATTATTTTCATTAATAACATAAATTCACATATAATGTGGTTGTTTAAGTTGGAAAATATGTATATTCTATTATATTATTTCATAATTAATATTTAAGGTAGATAAGACTGGTTTTGCTTATCATTCTTTACTCAAGACAACACAAAAATTGTTTTTTTTTTAAATATCAATTAAAAGAATTAAAATAATAACATTATTTAAATAATAATAAAATATAATGCATGATAATGTAATATAATTATAAACATTTATATATAATTTAATTAAGACATTATTACTAATAATGAATTTAATTAATTACTAAAGTATTATTCAATTATTTGAAAAATAAATAAAAAAATTTATACAGTAGATGAAAGTCCGGCCGTTTTTTTAAGAACAACAATTTATATACAACAAGGAGAGCGTCGTTTTTTATTCAAGAACTAGGTTGAAATAAATGATTTTTTTTAATGCAAAGTTAAAAAATTTGGCACAATTAATTCTAGAGCGTTAATTTCATGCGAGCTCTGAACAATGGAGAGCAGCGATCCGCCGATAAGTTGTTTTTCACAGGCACGCTCGCGCGAGCGGACAGTGCACCTGATCGTCGGGCCGAGCACCGAGAAGTCACGGAACGCAAAAAGCACATACCCGAAGAAGTTGCTCGAGCAGGGAAAGTGATCTTGAGAGAAAGGCACACAATCGTGTCATTGTCTGCTTTTTAAGGAATAAACAATCACAACGAGACTTGACCCTGCACCGCTTCCTGAACAACAACAGCCCTTTCGACTTTCTTGAGAGCCAAAATATATAAATTTCCTGTGCAGGACGCCATTGATTGCACGTGCAGCGATGCACTTTGTGCGAGGAATGCAATCCATACATGGAAAATTTCTCACGCTTCTTTATTCCATAATAGTATGATTATGGTCTATATGCTTGAATTTAACATTGAATATATTGTGCAAAAAAAATTATTCAAAATAAAAATCATTAGATTTTGTTTTCCTCCATGATTAAACAGTTAATTTTAATTTTTTAACTTCTTGCATTTCATAGAACCTGTCACCAGAAATTTGATACTTCTCGGGGAAAGCAATCAGACGACTTTTGTACTTAAATACTTGGTATATAAATTTATTTCATATTACAAAAGTGACTATACACTGAGCGTGTGATGTGATGGTGATGAGAAATAAGAGGAGTGTGTGCTTCGAAAGGGTCCTTTCACCTGCTTTTACCAGGCCCACTTGGGCGAGTACCTGGTCACGGTGATCTTGGGGTAGTGGTGGATGTGCTTGTAAACGGGCACCGGCACGGCGTACGGCTTGGGCACGGCGTAGGGCACGTGTTTGACCACTGGAACGGCGTACGGCTTCTCGACGGGGATGCCCACGGTTTTGACGACAGGGTAGGGCTGTGGTACGGGAACGGCGTACGGCTGCGGAATGGCCACCGGGACGGCGTGGGGAACAGGGTAGGGCACCTGCTTGATGACCGGCACGGCCACCGGCTTGGTCACGGTCACCGTTTGCGAGATGGGGAGGCCGTGGCCGTAGGCGGCGCCGTAGCCCAGTCCGGTTGACCCGTAAGAGCTGAAGCCCAGGTCGGACGAGTCGTACGAACTGAAGTCGACGCCGCGCTTGGTCTTGGCCTGCTCGTCGTAGTAGTCGGCAGAGGTCTCGGCCGAGGCATCCTCGTGGGCCAGCGCCACCGCAGCGCAAAGGCACAACAGATACACCTGAGCGAAAGAGAGAGAATTTTCAGTGGTTTTGCTTGCAAATTAAAGAGATGCGAGTAGAAAATAACAAGGTTGCGGTTTTCAGTTACTTTTTGTATGTAGGGAAAGCACCTTGTTTAATTTAGATAGCATTTGGATCAAATATTAATTTTCCCTTTTTCCTTTAAAAAAATATAGCAATCAAGCTAAATTTATTTGAAATTTTGTTGATACGCAACCAATTTATCAAAGCTTTATAGTAGCAAATTTTTGTATTATCATAAATTAATTTTATTAAAATAATTTATTTTTTAATTTTATGCTCCTTGAAACAGTGAGTGTGATTCTATGGAAAAATTTTCGAAAATAAATTTTTTATCGTCTTTCTCTCATTTAAAGGCCGTCTTTCAATTACGATGTAGAGACATCAAGAATATTATGCGATTTATTGTGAGAACTGAATTTTCAAAATTAATTTAATTTATTTTAATGAGAAAAAAATGAAATAATATTATAAAATTTATTTCTGAAATTATGATTAGTAAGGTAAAAATATTAGGACAGGCGGACTTCAAATTTGACATCAGGCAAACGGTAAAAATCTGAGAAAACAGTGAAGTGGAATAAATTGCTAGATAATTATTTTTTATCAAGTTGAACTGTAAATTAAAAATCAAAATGAAATAATGAACAAATTTAAAGTTTCTTAAATTTCCAAATATTGAATAAGACAAAGAATAAACAAACAAAAAAAATTGAAATTTTCAATTTGGTTTTTGAATTTTAGCAGTAAAAGTCAAGGTGCTATAATTGTGTCTATCAAGGGGTTATACTCACGTTGTACTTCATCGTGACTTGAGTGACCAGCGTGTGTTGAGTGCCGTTCCTTGAGCGGTCATCTATCTTTTATACAGACTCGTTCCCCACCTGCGCGCGAGCCCGTTGAATGAGAGATCTGCGTGTGGCAGAAGGAAAAGCAGTCGCAGTTTGTTGCACAACAGCATCCCTCATCCCTGCTCCTCCGGTTACGCGCGCGCCGGGGAAAGTCTTCCATTCTTTCTTTACGGGAGCAGCAGCGAGGCGCGTTTTTAATAATTTGCATTTCAATCTTCGCGATTCGTGCCCCCACGCGATTGTCTGCCGGTTAGGCGTCGGCCCTTCATTATGTATGCTAAGCTAAGTTAGTCAGTTGGGCAACCGAATTAATTTTATCACAAATGACGATCTGCAACTGAGCTAAAATTAATTTTCATCTTTGGGGGCTCTTACGTGGTGGAAATCTTTTGCATCAGCCGCAGCACGTACTGGATAAAATTTAAATTTCAGAAGGAATATTTGATTAATAAATGCATGGGATTTTAGATTTTATGTCAGTCTTCATTTTAGTACAATTATTATGCTACAAAATTTATAGAATATGACTGTGATGTAAATAAAATTTTGCGTTGTTTAATTATTTTTTTTTTATTTCATTTTACAGAAACAGTTACTAAAATACTAAATAATAGTGATAATTATATTTTCTGAACAAAAAACTGTTATCAATATCAAGTTATGAATTTTTCTGTTTTAATGCCTGGTTTTTTGGGTTATTTTTTTCAGAATTTTAAATTGGTTAATAAACCAAGGATTTGGTACGATTATTCCACAAAGATTGCTTTCAAATCGATTTAAAAGTACGGCAACTTATGTCAGACGTTAAAATTTCAGAGTAGATAAAAACTGGTTTTGCGTTCAATTCAGGGTGGCGAATACTGGAGGGAACTTTATCCGCGGTGAAATCTGCTGTAGGCGTGGCAATTTATTATGCAAGAGGCACTTGGCTCACTAAAATTGCAAACGTTATTTTTGACAGAGCGCGTAATAATGAAGCTTCTTTTCATAGAATAAGTGTCAATGATAATGGCTTTATTTCACTTCATCAGTCGCAATAAAACTTTGTATTGGTGCATAATAAAGTCGACGACTATTGAGAAGATAATTATGCATCTAGCTCGGCTCTTTTGTTTGCATGTCAGTATTGTCAGAGTGACGAGGAAATAGTGAGTTACTGCTGACAATGGTGTTACTTCATTTGCCTCATTGCGATTTTTGGCGTAGGTTCAAATTCGTTGACTTCTAGATTGGCTCTATATAGGCTTAATCAGGAAGTAAAAAAATATACATTTTAATGTAAACTAGTCTTAAAAAATTTCGACTTAAGATTACATTGCCAAATAATAGGGTATATAAAAATTCAGCTGTCTGAAAACGTGAAAATAATTTCATTTCAAATATTTTTATTTGTAAATCAACAAATTTTAAAGTAAAGTATGTATGTAACTATGTGGACAAATAAACAACAATAGTAATATCATAATATTGTTGAATTATTTCGAATAAAAAGATAATTGCTATTAGCATTTCAAAAAAACATTCACTAATTTTTTTTCCGATTAATAATAAAATAAATAAAAAAATACCAAATTTCCAAGCTGGAAATAAGATGTTTAAAACAAATTGATTGCATGAATAGGCACAAGTCTTGATAAAGTAACTTCTAAAAGTTAGGATATCAATTTTTACTGAAATGTGTCAACTGATGAGGACAGAGATGTCAATTATTTTGTTACTCAATTTAAAAAAAAAATCTCAATGACATCTTTGCAATTATTCAAGAGTCAATTCAACTATAAGAAATCTCTTTACCTAAACCGACCTAAACTTTCGCTCTCAACGCAAAGTCTAGGAAAATTTGCTCATCCCACGTGCGATATATGAAGCATAACAGCAATTAGAGTCGTTCCGCAATTACGGCCGCACCAATAACAATATCTGTCATAATTGCAGTGTAATTAAAAAGAAAATGTGTATAAATGAAAGATGATGAGGAAAAAAGGCAAAGCGGCGGAAACACCTAGCGTCGTCTCTCGACCATTAGAAACAAACAAACAAACTTGCACTTGAAGAAACGCGCATTTAAATGCAACACCGGACAGATCTCACCGCGTAATGAGATAACAACACATTGCCGCTCAAGTGATGCGCGGTTGAATTTCATTAGAAAATGAACGTCTCTCGCGGAATGTGGTAAAAACTCTCAAAGTTTGTGCGTGCCGCGCGTTTTCTCCCCAGATTCAGATGTGCAGCCGTCATTCAATGAGCGGCTCTGACTCAGTGACCATTCGGGGTCGCGACCTTCGGGTGCATTTTCTCTTGACCGTGGCAGTGTGCAGGTGTGCGCGTCACGACTAGAAATCCGTTTGACAGCGGCACCCTTCATTAAATTGAGACGTGGACTTTCAGTTTTCGCGAGACGGAAGGGGAAATGAAATGAAAAGTTTTTTATACACAAAAATTAGTAATTGCGGCTGCTTTTTTAACGTTTGTCCGATATTGGTGGCAAGAAAACATAAATTCTATGAAACCAAAATAATTTTTTACCAGAAATCGAGAAAAGAAGAAAAAAGTTTTTATTAACCTTTGCCCTTCATTTTTCATTCATTTTAAAAAAACACATCACTAAATTTTCTTAAGAGTTAATCATCATTAAAAACAATCATCATAAAAAGTTTATTCATTTTTTTTAAATATTATTTCTAAAAAAAAATGAGTTTCTTGCGCTTTCCAAAATTTAAACATACAAATAATTAGCTTTAAATGTCTCGAGTCATTGACCCTTTCATTAGTACAGAAAATTTTGTGGTTTATAACAATCAGAAATGGATACTTGAAATGTTTATTTTTTACTTTCAATTATTTACTGCCTGAAATTCTGTTATTTTGTTATTTTAATGAGAAAAGAATGGACAGAAAAAAATAATAAATATCTGTCGTTGGTTGTTCTTGACTCATCATCAGCTTTTGAATTGATTTGTAACACTTTAATAATTGTTCAATAGACGCTGAATGCCTAGAATTGTTTGCTCCAAAAAAGGAATGAGCCACATTCCACAAAAAGTAATTCCTATTATTCTAATGCAAGAGCTCATAATGGTTTATTTTCGATGACATTGTATTCATACCATGAACTTAATCCCTGTCAAAATTTTTAAATTGAAATTAAAAAAATTCATTCAGTATAATTTTTTTTAGTAAAATTCCAATCGTCATATTAGTGTAGAACAAATCAAAGCGTGTAACAGAGCACACGATAATTGCTTGTTTTCATTTAGTTGTCAGTGGTGCTGTCGTCGTCGGCGGCGGCAGCGCGGTTACTGACCAATCCAACGTGCCGCTTTTACCAGCAAATAGTTGTTTTAAAAAATGCGGCGAGCGATCAAAGACGGAGAAGCATCCTGATCAACTGGTTTTTCTTTCGTTCCGACGTGAAAAAAACTTATACACATTCGATCGAGCAAATTGTAGAGTGATTTGGTGGTGCGTTCTTGGAACGGCATTGATTGGAATCCATCATCATCGTAGTAGAAAGTAGTAGCGAGTTGAAAAAGAAGAAGCCCGGCCTCCGCGAGATCATTCAGGTGCTCCGTATTTATACGTACAGCAGGCGAACAAATATATAAATGCGTAGTACACATTGCCGGCAGGTACTTTAGCATTGACAATGAATGGAAAATAAAGTGCCGTGTTACATTCCTTTTGTGAAGCACCGTAAAGAGCGCAGCAATTATAATTATGCATGACTTCTCCATTCATAAAAAAAAATACACTCGGCTATTAATTTTTTTAAAAATCGGATAATTTTTGCATGCTTTGATCATTACAGTACAATTGAATGGGCATATTTTAATATTTTAAGAAATTTTTTAATGTAATTTGGTGAAAAAAATAACAATTTAATTTAACAAAATAAAATACTTGGAAAAATTCTACATTTTTAAATAATTTAGCAAAGTAAACAAGATCACATTTACATAGATATAAAAACAATTGATTTGCTTCAATTTATATTAATTATTATTAATAACTTATAATGCTCTCTTCAGATTTTTTCATAAAAAATAAACAATAACAATTAATAATAATAACCAAAAATTAATATAATTAAGAGTAATAATTAAAATTTTATTTTATTATAAAATTTACCCATTTGCTTTTCAAATTTTTTTCTTTTATGCAATGATTAGATAATGATGTATTCAAACTTTTTTTCAAATAATTGTTTATTTTGAAATAAATTATTTATGTTCTGAAAGAAAATCATACATTATAAAAAAAATGTAAATATGTATTTTATTTTCAATTCAGTTTTATTGCATGCACGCAAACTAATAAAAATTAAATTGAAACATGCAATGCAATTGATAAAAAGTCAAACCTTTATAGCATAATATGCACGTGGCACAGTTTTATTGCATCGCATTTTGATCAATGATTTGATCAGTTGGCCGGTCTGTGCATGTGTTTGTGCAGTAAACAGAGTAAAAAGTGAAAACATGGGATAATTGCCGCCTAGAGCGTGCATTCGATGCAACGCGATAGTTTTCTTCCGAATGCAATTACCTCCGGTTTAAGTCGAGTGGGTTAGGTGATCTTTCTCTTGACGGTGTCACACTTCTTCTGCTTTTTCTTTGCCGCATATAAACCTGTCAGGCAGCTCTCTATATCAAAATGACCCAGGGTGGCAAACAGTTTTCTTTCCAAACAAATTTGAATTTGAACTGCCACCGTGAACATAATTGCACTTTCATGATCCATGCATCGATCGCGAGAAACCAGTTTGTCTTATCTTTGGATCATCACTTGCTGGATGCACTTTATATGTAATTATCGCTTTCCAAATTAATATTTATGTTTTTAGCATATTAGGCTTAAATCTGAGACGTAAAATTACATCTTGCTGCTGAACGAGATTTAAAGGCGGCTGATCAGATCAAGGGAAAAGTAAAGAGAGCTTAGCTCAAGACGCATAAAATAAATATAACACCCCTCTCGTTTTCAGTTGGAATATCAACTAATATTCACAAAGTGCTACTAAATTTCCGATATTTAAATGAGATCTTTGTCGCCAATTAGCGCGTGCGCCACTTAATTGAAAGTTATTTCATTATTATTTGCTAATAAATTTCTTTAAAAAATTACAACAAAAATTGTTTGGATTTTCAAATTAAAATTTAATTATTAAGACATCAAATTTTAGTCAATCTATTTATATGGGCTATTTTTGAAAATAATAATGAATCTAAAAATAGAATCCATACCTTCCGCAGTAGGAAAAAGTGTTATCAACGAAAGGACCAGAGAGGACGTGATATAAAACATAAAAGAAGGCAATTTTTATATTAATAATATAGTAATACTTATTTGAAACTTCAAGAAGAAATGGCAGCGTTTCTTTAATTGAAAACAAAGAAAAATTACAAAATTATCATGATTTTATCATGTTAATAATTATAGACCAGATCATGAACAAACCTTTTAATGACAAAATTGTCTAAATCATGCATAATATAAATTGATTTTTTTTAGATTTTTTTATTGTAGTTAAGAAGAAATTATAAAATAATAATTATATATAAAAACGAATTTTTTTTTTAATTATTTTAAATAAAAATGATATATTTATAATAAAAAAATTTAACTGGTAACAAAGACTTTGATTTATATTCTTACATCAAAGCAAGATAAAGGGTTAATATACAAGTTTATTTTGAAGAACAAACTTAAAAAATATTTTGATAAAGTAAACATAAAAAAAATACAAATTCTTGCATTCACTTGCATTTAACTTAATGTGAAAGGATACTTAATTAAAATAAAGTCAGAAATCTACATAAAAACTAAGGTCTGCTCATCACATAAGAATTAATAGAGCAAATCTGGACTGCTGCTGAGCACTCTGATTGAGTAATACACTTTTCTTGTATCCAATCATAGAGCTCAAACAACGATCAAATCGAGTCTGATTGTTGTGATGCGCAGACTTTGAGCAACACAAAACCAATTTGACGTGAAGTAAGAAAAATTCTTTTTCTAGACACAATCAATCTAAAATGCAGAATTATGCTATAAATGTATTCCAGACAAAGTTTGCAGACGTTGAAACTAAGCAAGCATTTAATATTATTAGTTATAAATTTATATTTTGATCGAATAATAGAAAATAAAATAATATCAAATAATTAATGAAAGCTTAATATTGAATTTCCATTTAAGTCTCCTTCAATCTAGTTAAAGGCAATGAAGGAACAGAAATAAATGAGATGATAGCGTAATTGTTAATACAGCTTGTGTAACTAAATTGTGATTGAAAACTTAAGTTCAGGGTTACATAGAAAAGGTTTTTTTAACTTTACCAAAGACTTCTACCAATGAAGTTGTTAATAGCACTCTGACGGGAGTTCGCAGATGTATACACCCCAATGTTCAGAGCAAGATCCGCGATACAATTTGTCAGTCCAGGATGTATTATTGCCATAAACTAATCGGACGCAGCCTGATCTGCCTTTGTCTTTTGGGCTCCAAAGTTCGCTATTGATGTCAATCTTTGTTCCATCAAACCATTGAAAATCGTGATGTCTATCAACTGTACTAAAGTCTTTTGCTGACACCCACCAAATGTGGTTTTCTGGAATATTAATTAATATTGAAGCCAGTTTTTATTTAGTTAGTATATATTCAATATTATTCTAAAAATTAAATTTATGCATTTAATAATAAAAAAATTACCATTTGTAAATCTTTTCAGTTCATGCCACACAATTGACAAGTCAACTTGGTTCTTTAGGGAAGCCAAATGCAATCCCATTTCCGTGCAAGTGCTATTGGCGACCGTCCAGTTTGCCTAGCAAAAAATTCAAACACATATTGTATAAAAATCAAAGGAACAAATAATTAATAAAAATTTATCGCTCACTTGATTTGGATGTGAGAAGTAATATCTTTTATCATTGGAAAGTTGAGTCAAATTGTTTGAGCCTGTAATTTTAATGAGAAATTTTTGTGTGAGAGTTTGTAAAAAAAATTTAAAATAACACAGGAAGTTTTCAATATTTTAAACAAAGTTTAGTTAAAAAATTAACCTACGAGCAATCAGGCAAAGTGGAGAGTGCGTGGGCAAAGTCTGGAAAATGAAAATAATCACGTTTGGAAAATTATTATCAAAAAATGTAAAACATAAGATTTTATCGTCAATGGGGAATCAGTAAGGGTAACAAGTAGACTTATGGTTGCATTATTTATCTCCTTTGCAAATCTTTAAACAATTCATTCGATGTAATAACATAAGCTACACCTGCTTGCCAATCGTAAATGCATAATAGAATGGTTAAAAGTATAAGATAAATAAAAAAAAAGAAAAAAATATCGAGAAAAATTGCTTACTTTAAAAAAAAAAAGCTTTTCAGCCAAAAATCTAATTGTTGTTAGAAACTGGGCTTTGCTTTAATCATATTTAAATTTTTACCTCTTTGCTCCTAAACAATTGCAGCCCATTGTCCCAGAGTTCCCAGACCAGGAAGTAGTTTAAGATAACAGTGCTTAATATCCCAAACAAGATGGCTATGCTAAATACCAGAATTTGCGTAGCTAAGTCGCGAATCTTTGTATCCACATTCTCTTTGGACCTTTTATGAAGGGGCAAGCGAATCATCGTGTTATGAAAATAGTAAAAATATTAATTAAATGCCAAGTCAAGTAGCATGATGGTGGCTTAAGTTCTCAAACTTCCTACTACTGCGTCTTTATCCTTTGCCTTGCTGGAAAGTTTAATTTAATTGGATGTAAATGAGCGTTATCAGAATCAAGCGTTTCCGTTTCAGATTTCAAAAGAATTTAAAAAAAAAAAAAACAGTGTGTGATTAAAATTAAGGCCACGACATTCCGACAACTATATTAACATGCTGATTGTTGGAGGGAGAAAAAACGAAAATAATGGATAAAAGCACATTTCCTGTAAAATATTTACAGAATGTAAAATATTTAACTTCCTTTGTTCAAACAATATTTGCATGTAAAAATTTCGTAATCTCATTTTTCAGTGTTTTTATAATTTTCAATTCAAATAAAAGCTGAAATTGGGTATTTTCTTATGTTAAATTTTTTAGGGGATAGGGGTAATTTTATATATCATCTATGCCGGATGCTAAATTTCATGTGCTAATTTTTCCTATGCCAACAAAGAGATCAGAGCACACTTCTGTCAAAATGATTTCAGCAATGTTTTTCACCAAAACCTTGAAGGTAAGGTCCACTGTTATAATTTATGAATTGCTTTTTAATTTTCATTATAAATATAAAATTCCACACTTTTAATAAGTAAAAGTGTCGGGCAAATGATCAAATTAAAATATCTTGAAATTCTTGATGCAACAGTCAAAATTTTATTTCAACATTTCGTCACAATTATGCAATGCCCTACAAACTAATTAACAATTTTAAGAAAACAACAGAAATTAAAGAAAAAGAGAAGTGGTTGGTTCACCACTGGGAATAAGATTGGAAAGGAAACTTGGGGGAGGAGGGCGAAAGGGCGGTGGCCGCGGCAGCAGCGGCGGCCGAGCGCTGAATGGCCATGGCCTCCTTGGCGGCCGCGATCTTCTGGGCGACAGCGGCCTGCGCCTCCCTGGCGGCGGCCGCGGCGGCGATCCTCTGGGCCAGAGCGGCCTCAAGTTCGGCACGACGCTGCTCCTGGGCAAGGGCGGTCTCAATGTCGTTGCGCTTTCGCTGATCGGCCAAAGCGTTCTCCAGCTGCAGCCGCTTGCGTTGCTGCACCAGGGCGGCCTCCCACTCGGCGCGCTTTTGCGCCTGGATCTGTCCGGCCTCCTGCTCGGCGCGGCGTTGCTGGTGCATCAGGGTGGCCGTGGCCGCCTCGATGGACAGGGGGTTGGAGAAAGAGTGGCCGAAGGCTCCGCGGAAGGGACTCCTCTGCTGGGGCCAGCCGCCAGCCCAGCCAGAACCGCCGGTCGGCAGGTTCCATCCACCAGCATTAGCAGGTCCTGAAGATCCAAAACCGAAGCCCAACCCGCCCAGGCCTCTTTTCACCTTGGCGGGCTCTGGTTCGGTGGCAGCAACCACGCAAGCGGTAGCGGCAATAACCTGAGAGGAATCAATTTATAAATTTTTTAAATTTCAAATACATAATTATATTTTTTAATGAATATTAATATTTATTAAATTTTTTTGTTATTAATTTAATAGTTTTCTTCCGTTAATAATTTAAAATTTTTTCCGTGTTTCATGAGGGTAAAAGGAGTCTCTAATTTTATTTCATTTTCTACCAACTTCATTCTCTTGTAAATTTTTTAAAAAATATTTAGAAGCAATAAACTGATTCTATATTTCGAAATTGAAATAAAGAGGTAGTTGAATATTTCACTTACAATTTTATGAATTTCAAATTTTAATTTTGAGATTTATGAAAAGTATAATAAATAATATTAAAAGCAATGCTTACCAAAAGGAACTTCATGGCTGTAGGTGGTTGTTTTGCTGGAGGAGACGGCAGGTGACTGATGCTGAACTGGAGGATGCGCCTGGATTTTATACTATGTTCCCAGACTTTCGTCGGGACAATTATTGTCATTACAGGGTGAGCATGGTCACGATTCTGTGTCACCAGACTGCAATTATCGACGGGGAAGCGGCGCCTTTTTGATTAAAACACGATCGCCTATTTTGCGGACAGAAAATAACGGAATGGTCCATAAACCGATTGATGTGCTTCAAAGTCACCATCAAATTTTATGACTTTTGTTTTCATTACGGCCGGTCCAATTCATTTGAGTAATTAGCTACGGGGAGTAAAACTGCACGAAAAGAAAGGAGGAAGTTGGTAATTTTTGGAGCATCGGAGACTGACCAGATCAAGGGATCGTGAAAAAAATGTTAAATATAGGTTTTGCAACTCGGTGCAGCCGTTTGGTTTGCGGGCATTTTTATTTTGCAGTACACTCGTTGTTTCTTTTTTTACGCCTTTCACGCAATGCTCTCTTTAATTTCAAAAGATTACTTCAAAGCTCGCCTCACTGTGCAGAAGCGAAGGAGAGCAACAGGTTCTTCATTTCAAGCCAAGCTTTAGTTTAAAAATTACATACGTTTGGCAGACAGATGAATTGCAAATTCAGTGAATGTATTTAGAACGCAGAAAAACTCGTTGAGATTGGAGTCTATGTACGGAAGTAAAAAGAAAAATTGTAAATATACAAATTTTTATTCAAGAATTTAAGTTCTTACTTGAGGAGACGTTCGTTTAAATGAAAAGCTTGTTTATCACAGATTTTTTAAGATTTTTTTTTCATTAATGAAACTGCATTAATGAAAACAGCAACTTGCGGATATAAATATAAATTACATAATTCATTTATGGTTGATTGTGTTTTCATCAAATATATATAAACTTATCTATTTAGTTTTTTTTAGTGATTTTTGAAGAATGGATTTTTTTCTAGATGGTACTTTTTTTAATTAATTTGTATGTTGAAAAGTTGAACGTTACAAAACAAAAAATCTTAGATTGTTTAAAAATTATAGCCTTAAATACTTGGCTATGAAATCATGAACTGCTCTCTGGCATGACATCAGTGCCTAATTTTCTACAAACCAAGCTATTTATCATAATTTTATATTTTATCATTGAATTATTCTTTTTTAGTCATCGCCCATTAAAGTAATTTTTGTCATCTTTTCAACGTCTTGCAGTATACAAATATAATGAGAAATAATGGCACTTGTTTATTATTGCTATTTATTCTTCTCAGTTGATACTTAATTAATAAAAAGTGTTAAATGAAAAAAATCATTAGCGATTTATCCACGTTTATAATTCAAAATCTGTTTTAATAAGTTTATTGTTTAAGATTTTTTGAATTTTTTTTTCTTTTTTGCTATTTTGCTGAGAAATAACAGTTAAATAATAATTTATATTTTCTTTTTAATATGTAAGAATGCCATTATATTTATAATTACGATACGTATTTAATTTTATTTGCGACAAAATAAAAAAATGAAACCTCCAAATTTTTACTGAATACTTACTGCATGCTTAAAAATTATTTTCTGAGACTTTTTAACATTGGATGTATGTATATTCTGCCTAAACTAAACAATCTTTCACGACTTTCACATAAATGATTTTACATGCAATGATATTATTTTAATGTTGATAATTTTGTAGTTTATTGCAAGCTTTACCTCTAAAGTTTGTGACGAAATAAACTCGCCAATTTCAATAAAAGTGTCAAAAGCCTTAAAAGATTATTAATATTTGAGTTGTAGCAATGAATACAATTAAATTTGTTAGATTGTTGTTACCATTTTATTAGCAAAATCATATAGTTTAACAAAAATATTACATACTAGGAAGGACAGACTTTTGATTCAAATTTCGCAAACAGGCTTAGTGCTGGAAGTACGGCTGGTCCCTGTAGGTGGGTGGGAAGGCGGTTCCGTAAACACCGTAGACAGGGTGGCCGTAGCCAGCAAATCTCGGCGCAGGGGTGGCCGCATTTTGACTCGTTGCAGCGGATGAGTAGGTGGCTGAAAGTTTCAGCTCTTGTCTAGGAGCAGGGTACGGCGAGACGGTGGTGGACACGGCAGGCAGAACGGCCGAGGTCATGTCCTGGTGACCCTGAGGTTGCTTCACATCCAGGGGAGAGGGTGCATTTGTGTAGAGGGACAGTCTGGTGGGCTCGTACGAATTTTGAGAGGTCTTGACTGGCTCGTATGACTCGTAAGAGGACTTCACAGGCTCGTACTGGGTGGAGGGCACGAAGGGCTTTGAAGGGGAATAGGTGGGGGAGGGGTTGAAGGACTTTATGGCCTCATAGTTGAGTGCAGGGGTGTAGTTCTTCAGAGGAGCGGCGGTGCTGTAGATGGCGGTGTTGGCAAAGGTGTTGATGGCCTTGTCCACAGCGTCAGGGGTGGGGGTTGGGGTGGAGAAGGTTGGCGTCGGTCTGGGGGCTTGAGGGTATTGCAGGTTGGGGGATGCAGGAGAATATTGGGGGATGATGTTATTGTTATTATTTCTGTAAGGGTTGTACGAAAGCAGGTTGCGATAGGGGTTGGGGGCGGCAGAAAAGTAGGGGTTGTAGCCGACCTGGGCGGCGGTGCCGACGTTCAAAAGTCCAAGACCGCCGTAGTTGGGGCCGCCTCCGAGGCCGTAAAGGTCCAGGTGGGGAGACGAGGCCAAACCGATGTTGTCTCCGTGGAAGAGGTTGCCACCCCCGCCGAGCAGGGCTGCGTAGGGGTGGAAGGTGGAAAGCAGCGACAGTTGGTCCCACGATCCAAGACCGCCAGCACCGAGGGCGCCGCGTTTGGCCACCTTTTTGTCCACTTGGGCCGCTCCGGAGGCCGCTACGGCCACCACAAGAAGCACTGCTAACTGCACTGGTCTCATTATTGCTGTGGTCTGAACGAAAATGATGCGGCTGCTAGCTCGGGGGCTGCCTTTATAGTGGAAAAAGGGAGGCCTTTCTTCCTCGCCCTTTCACTGTGGTGCTCATCCTTTCTAGCAATTGTCCAGCAAGAGTCACGGCTAGGGCCTTGAACCTCCGGCGTCCGTTCTCTGAGGAGAGACTGTAACTGGTGCAGAAAGTGACGCGCATTCTTCACTCGCCGCGACATTATATTCATACACAAAAAGATGCAGCATCTCTTTTTTCACTTTAGATTATTAACGCGGTCGGTAGAACCAATCGGCCAGCGCATTAATTGGAGAAATGCGCGTCGTTTTGTTTCCGCAAATGCATTGTTGATTATTATTGCTCGCTGGACGATTGACAGCACAAATCAAATCCAATTATTCCTCGAATTAACCGTAAACTTTATGAGAAAAGTGTATCCTCTGATAAACACGACGCGAGACTGAAGTTTACATTCACATTTCCCTCCCTCCGAGAGTAAAAAATAATATAGAATTCTTTTGTTCTTTTTGCACTAACAGACGGGCGCTTCCCGTGAAAGATCAAGACCTTTTTTATGCGTCTATTTGAACGCCAGAATTTCGTCTGCAGCTATTAAATAATTATGAACACAATCTAATAATAAAAAAGCTGTCGCAATTCTTTTGTGTCAAAGATACACTTTCTGGACAATATTTTCATTTATAAAAGTGATGATTCATGCTTTACTCTTTATTAAATTAATTTGATATTTTTATTAAACATTAGTCCATAAGCAAATAATAAAAATGAGCTATGAATCAATAGTTGTTTGAGCCTAAAAAATTTTAATAAATGTTAAAAGAACTAATAAAAGAAGGAATAAATATACTCTATCTAATTAATAGATTTTAAAAAAATTTGTGCTGAACTGGTGCTGAATTGCAAAAAAAAAATGTAAAATAAACTATTTTAAATTTTTAGCAATATATTCTAATCTCTATAAATACTTAAAAATATTTGGTTCCATTGATACTCAGCGCTCACTGTAATTTTTGGAATAAGAAAAATAGTTTCTTAAAAAATTAAACAAACAAGATCTTATTGACTTATTATTTCTATGTGTTTACATTTAGTAGTTGTGTTTTAATTAATGTATTTATTTTGAATACTCCGGAATACTCATTGAGTCAAGAAATAATCTTCCAATCAATCAGAAGTTATTTTGATCTGCTTGAGTTTTGCCATAGATAAATATGCCTATAATTTTGCTTTTTAAGAACGATAAAAATTCCTAACAAAAGAAAACATGTTTTGTGGCTTGCTAAACAGCCTCGCCAAGCAAATGGATCTGTAACACTATAATAGAGGAAAATATGAAAGTGGTTTTTATGCAACTGGTAAAGTCTACGTGCTCTGCGAATTGCCTATACGACGAAAATTGTAGGGGCTTCAAACTGAACACATTTTACTGAAATTGTTTGAATGGAAACATTGCATTATCATGTGATATTTTTTTCAATATAAACGATAGTTTATTTTATATATAGTTTAGTTTAGACTTTTACGAACTTAGACAACAAATAGCGCGGATGTTGATGCAACCAATCAGTTGTAGCATGAAGATAAATGTGGGTGCGGCAGGCAGTGGGTCGTGCAAAGTCTTTTTTATGGTTCCACCGCGCTGTTTCAGAACAGATAGTAACCCAAAGTCTTATACATGCTACAAAATCTCTGATTGGTTGCATCAACATCCGCGCTATTAGTTGTCTAAGTTCGTAAAAGTCTAAGCAGTGTACGAAAAAGCCGGGTTTTTTCCGCACAGCTTAGACTTTTACGAACTTAGACAACTAATAGCGCGGATGTTGATGCAACCAATCAGAGATTTTGTAGCATGTATAAGACTTTCCAGGGTTATGATCTGTTCTGAAACAGCGCGGTGGAACTATAAAAAGACTTGCACGACCCACTGCCGCACCCAAATTTATCTTCATCAATTCAAAATGCCATATTTAGTGAACCTACCTAGTTCTGTTTCTGGTGAATCTTTAGGACGTTTTAATGCGTAAGTTGAATAATTATTTTATTTTTTTTTCAACAAATCTGTTCTACTAATTACTAATTGCACTATGTATGTAAATAAATGTCAAGCAAGGCAGAAGATTTTGTCTTGACTGGCAAAATACATATTATATAGTCCTGGAAAGTATTTTAAAATGTTCTAAGTTTATGAAATTTAAGGTTTCAAAAACCTTGATCTCTCAAAAAATTTTAGAGTGGCGGTGCCGATTTTTGTTGCAAATATGTTCTGAGATTTTGCTGATGCAAAAAACGGAAAACAAATTACAAATTGCTGTTCATTATTATTGACTGATTATTTATTAATATAGTATTCAATTTATACAAATTTCTTTATTTATAGGTCGCGGACGACGATCCAGAAAAAGTACTCGCCGTTGCGTCTAAACTTTGCGCTACATCGACTATTTACATATCCCGCTGATTTTGAAATTGAACCGAGACCTTTGGCCGAAGCTGGAATTTTTTACAGCGAAACCGATAAAACAATAAAGTGTTGGTTTTGCGGGTACGAGTTCAAGACGAACGAATTGGGCTCCTTGAAAGGCAAAACTGCAAGCGAAATCATACAAATTAAATCGAATTGCAACATCATGCATGATCGGCATGATAATATCCCGATGGGAGATATTTCGAAAGTCATAAATTACAAATTCGAATCGCACCGATTGTATTCGCTGCTGCAGAAAAAAGATTGGGAATTTGTGAAGCCAGTTGAATTGGCAGCAGCCGGCTTTTACTACACCAAAGTAGACGACAATTGTCGCTGCATTTATTGCAATTTGGAAGTGCGAGGATGGGAAGAAGGGGACAACCCTTGTACGGAACACGATCGCTGGAATCCCTACTGCCCGTTTTTGAAGCAACCAAATAGCGTGGTCAACATTAAAATTGGCGAGGAGCAAACTGAGACGTACAGCGATGGAACTGGATTAAATAAAATTGGTTCAAACCCCTTCGTTCGTTTTCCTGAAAACTACAGAATGGTGGAAAACGACGATCCCTTCATTACAACCTCAGATTTAAGCATTCATGAATGGAATCCACCGCGGCACCCAGAGAAAAGTTTAATCTCAAAGCGAATGGAAACTTTTAAAAATTGGCCTAAAGGACTTTCCCAAACGCCTGATGTCCTGGCAAGGGCCGGATTTTTTTACACCGGATGTGGGGATCGTGTCGTTTGTTTCCAATGCAGCCTCGGGCTAAAGGACTGGGCTCAGGACGACGAACCTTTCGCAGAGCACGCAAAATGGAACCAGGGATGTCAGCACCTCATCATGCAAAAGGGCTCGGATTTTATACAGCAAATCTTGCACGGGAAAACTCGGCAAAACTAACAAACTTTTTGTCAGATGTCGGAGAACATTTGTATGTAGGTAGGTAGACCTAATGTAGACAATTTATATGCTAAAAAAATTGTAATTTTGATTTTAGATTTATTTTATATTACACACGCTACTAGTCAAAGATGTGGTTTTCTGCATATTTAATATCTTACTTACATAATTTGAAATCTCATTAAGCAAATCTTACGATATAGATCTGAAAGCGCTGTTAAAGAACCTCTGACAATGAATAGTATACTTGCCGTCGCTTGCGGTATAATAGTGTTTATCTTGTATAATAAAACCATATTTGTGTAACAAAATGTATTCCAAATAAAACTGATTTGACTCAACTCAAACATGATTAATTGTTTTCAGCATATGAAATTTTATCAAGAGGTGTTAACAGCTTCTGCTTTTTGGCCAAATTCATCTATCAGGTATAATTTCTTAAAAATTGCTGAAAATGTTAGTTTTCTTTTAACTCGTAGTGAAATCTAATCAGCGATCGATTGCGCTGAATCAATTTTGCACGGTTATATAATATGAACGCTAGCTATAATATATGATATTCCGGTTTGAAATTCCAACATAAAACTTCTCTGAAAAATCATATGTGAATGAAACGGCTATGTTGAGTACATGACACTCGCTGCCAAGTCTGAAGTCGCGCTCATGATGATAAAATTCGATAATGTTATCATAATTTATCACATAAAATAATAAGCCTAATAAGCATAAGCAGATTGCAGTTATACCATCCGTTTTATACTATATTATATGTAATTCAACATTAAACATGCATAATATTTTTAATAATGCCTTAACTTGATAACGAAAAAGAATAAAGAGTCCAATACATATTGCAATATGATCATGATCGCCATAACATAATAATATAATCCGACCTTTTATCAGCAGACAGGGTTGTCAGTTGTCCATTCACCTTTGGAGGCCATCTCAGGAAGTCCTGAAGGTTTTTATGAGCGATAGTGATTGTACGATTTGTTCCAAATCCAAACTCACAATCAGCAAACACATGTACGCACCGGTATGTATGATACAATCATCAGATGGACTTGCCGGATTTCAAGATTCAAGAATTCCGGTCCATCTTTGCGTGTCGGCCGACAGATGCCTCCCGGTTGGTCAGCGAGCGGAGGCCGGAGGTTGACGCTCCGCCACGCGAAATAGCGCGCGCGAGTGCAAGCAGGGGCAAAATGGCGAGGGCGGCGGAGTGATAAAGTAGTGCCGGCAGCACCAGCTCAGAGGACACAGACGGAGCTGCATTGATTGATCTTTAGTGTTGTGTGTGTATGCGAGTGTATGGATAAAAACTAATTAGTGCGATGCATTGGCACCACTTAGCACTGTTGGTCCTGCTCGTGGGATATTCGAGCTCCGGCGCGGCCCAGCAGGTAAGCACGACCGGCCCAAATCTCGGGCCCATCCGCCCCCGAAAGAACGAGAGCAACCCTTGGGCTTTTCCTGCACCCTCCTTTGCGCCCCGTCGGTCAGCTTCCACCCTTTCCAGGTGCCCTTTTTGTCCCCATTAGGCTCAAACGGGACTTTCAGGGGCTCAGACAAAGCAATAGGAGACCCCCGAGAGGCCCATGACTGTGCAGGTGCGTTTTGTCCCAATCTGAGCCACCGAGAAGCTGCTCGGCTGCGGCGCCTTTCATCTTCGCCGCACCGTTTCGGCTCGATTTTGACGAAGGATTTTCCGTAAAAATTGTATCTGCAGATTTCCATGACCGGGAAAATGCGCAGGACTCGTAGCGAGCCCTGGAAAGGGCTGTGAGTTGCGGCTATTTGCCTGCAGTGACCTAATAGTTGAGAAACAATTTTATGGCGAAACTATGGCATTTTTATTTCCTTCTCGAGGAAATTATAATAATTCGCTAAATATTGTAGATATCAATAAAAAGAAAAAATTAATTTACTTTTTATTTAATATTTTATTAAATTACGCTCAAATGTAATTAAAATCTGGGATAATTTTAATTGCTTTGTTTATTTATATATACATGAAAAATCAATAAATACTAAATAAAGAAGCTTAATTTTATAATATTTTGAGATTGAATAAAATTGCTGCCATTTATAAAAAATTCTGATGTATGGATTTAAAATTTAAAAAATAATTATGATTCGTCCGTCAGAGACTTTTTTTTATTTTTATTGGATTGAATTGAAAATAAATTGTCTAAAACTGTTTCGTGCGTATCAAATCGAAAATGAGCCTCGCCAAACCTTGAAATTTAAATGTGTGTGCCACTTGCGCCCCCTTAGTTGCAATTGAGGTCCAGCATGACTGTTTTTCCTACTTGAGAATGAGAATAGCATATGCAAAAGATCAATTCAAATGAGGAAAATAATGCTACCCTGAAGCAACAATGACGCAATTAATTCGTACCAGTACTTATTTATTAACAGCAGATTTCTTGGAATAATTAAATCAATCATTTCCAGCCTTTGTAATCTATCGTCTGACCAAATGGTTACCATTTATTTCAATGTAAGATCAAATTTTTAAAATGAATTTATAAAATATTTTGATATTGCTGAAAAATTTTATTACCAGGGCAGCTTGTTTTAAATTTTAAATATTCTTAAAATCATCAATAATTTATAAATTTCCTAAACAATATTTATAATGATTATCATTAAAGTTCTTGTAATCGTGCTGCAGTTTATCTTAAAATTAAAAAATTATTTGATTTTTCCAAGTCTGCAAAGGAAAGTGCAACGTGTGAAAAAGTCGTTCGGTGTCGAATAACTGCAGACAGTGGTGCTGGAAATGCGCAGACGGCAAAACAAAGCCGCTTGTGCAACCCAAAGGAAGAGGAATTTATATGAAAAATTCTGCTTGGCGATCAACGCGGCGCAAGGCTGACGAGAAAATTATTTATGCAAATTTGCAGTCATGTTGGAGACGATGCAAATCAATTTAAACTTTTTTCAAGTTTTGAATCGTCACGAGCTGCGGCGAGCAGTGCACGACGTCACAATTGATTTGCCCCAGTGACCTGTGCGAGCGAGGCAAAATCCCCATGGCCGTTGGTCACTCGGCACACTCGCCGTTGTCTGCTGATAACGCCCTTTCAGTATATTTGCGCGCTGACTTGCAACATGCTTCGTTTATTTATTCGTCCGTCCGTCCGAGCTGATGTGTTTCGATTTTATCGTTTCGCCATATGTACATAAGCAAGACCCTTTTTTTCTCTCACAGAAAATTTCATGATGTCAGATGTCAGTGAGGAAATGAAAAAAAAACTCTAAATGGTCAAAATTTTAGGACTGAAACTGATAAATCTGAAATATTTTCAAAATATCAGTCAAGGAGGCTGCAAAATAAATAACGAATAAATATTAAATTATATATTTTAAATTCTTAGCGCTTCTTTGAGTTTTAAGTTCATGCAATTGAGTTTGCGAAATTTGAAAAGTTTCAAACGATAGATGAATATTGTGGAATGGATTCCAAGTTGGAGGTGCGAGTATTTACATGTTTCGAAGCGGAACGTGCTCAGATTTATCAATTAAGGTGTTCTCCAGAAGCCACGCACAGGCTAGTTTTCCGGCCGGATGTTAAAAGTAATCGCAAATCAAATGCTGAAGGAACACCTGATAAACCAGTGCCTTTTCCGTACACACAATTAGTCTGCTTCAATCAACAAAATATCGCTTTCCATGGAAATTATTTTGGATTTCGTTTAATTTAAATGATTCATAATATTATTGCAGTTTAAATTTTATACTTATTAAATATATTTAATAACTAAATTAATAATTATTTTATCTTTTAATCCAAGTAAGGAACACTGACATTCTTAATTAAAAAAGAAATTTATTTTCATTAATTTTTTTAATGATCCAGGCATTTTTTTGCAATTTTATCAGTTTTTCCTCTTTTTTTAATTTGTGTTTGCCAATCCTTGATCCTTTAGTTTGTTTGCTCATCTGGAATTTCCAAACTATTGATTAATTCCCTGATGATGGATTGCTTCGCAAGTGTCAAAGGTCACTCGATCGCCATAAATTACACGCTTTAATCCCAACGGCACCTCCTCTCAAACTTGATGATCTGGAGCGAACTTTGCTCTCGCCGCCGCATTTTGCATCGTCGGCTTCTTCGCTTGTACTTTCCTCCTCAGATAGTGATGAAGTGCTCCTCGACGGAATAAGTCTTTTTAAGTACAGCTGCAAATACATTTCGACGACCGGTCGCAAAACGATTTTTTTCCTCTTATTTTCCAATAAACAACTTGGCGTCTCTCTCTGATGTTGACGACTTCTTTTAATTTCCTGTCAGACACAGAAAGAGAGAAAATGGAATTAATGGCGGCTGCGAAAACCAAGACTTTGTTGTTTTTGAGGCGCGAAAAGGCAAGCCAAATATTGATTTGGCCTTCCCGCCAACGAGTCGGAAAGATGGCAACTTTATGCGGAGAAATAACAGTTTTTGGTTGATAACGACATGTTTACTTTTCAAGCCATTTTTATTATATATACCATCGTAAAATTTGAGGATATATAAAGTCTCTTTATATTTCGCAAAAAATTCTTCCTATAGATGTTTTGAGAAAAATGTATTGATTTTCATTTCAACCAATAAATTAAAAATAAAAACCAAGTAAAAAATGACCGTATTAATTCTTAATGCTGTATTTTCATAAATATAATTAGAAGATTAATGAAATACAAATTATAGCTCTTTAAATGCATTGTAAAAATAAAATCCAAATTAGAAATAGAAAAATTTTATTAATGAAGATTAAGTTTTATTTTTATTTTGTAAGTTAATTTAAAAGTTGTCCCAGTATAAGTAATCATTAATCAATTTAAATTTCACAAATCCACCTTCTTATGACACCAAACATTTTGGCAAAATAAAATGATTATTTTGCGACACCTCATGACGTGCATGATGATTTTTGTACAAAGAATGAGGAAACTTTTTGTAATTTCACATTTTTTGTGTTCGTCAGTCAGTATTGAGGAAAATCAGATTAAATTTATATCTCAACTAATATTTTTTACGAGCTGATTTTCTCTCCAATAAACAGATTGTTAACACTGCGAGGAGACACGCAAGCTGCCGGTTCATCGGATTTGAAAAGAAAGAAATCCGTGGCGGAATAAAAAGCACAATAACACCGTCGTTATCCAATACACGCTCATTTGCCTTACTTGTGTGTGTGCCCCGGATAAACAATAGCCAGCGAGACCTGTATCACGTTGTGTACGTTGCTTTTTTATTGCGGCGCCGTCTCGTTGAAAGCGGCTTATGGCGAGGAAAGCGATGATTGCGAGTATTGATTCGCTGGTCGGTCGGTTGCCGCAGCCGCCGGTGCGTTCGTTGTTGAAATTCAGACTCTGAATTTATATATTCCGTCGGATGACTTGGCCCGCGAGAGCGCATTAGCCAAATTGCTTCTTCGCCTCGCTACGCAGACGAGATCTCATTATCGCAGCCCAAATTTCCGCCAAAATCTCTTCCGATGAATAAACAGACGCGACGGCGGCGGAATTATTGTTTTCAGACAAATATGCAGTCAGTGCTTCTGAATCATCCCATTACACTCTGAGATGATGGATTGAATGGAAAAATGTTGCCAGTAATGGAAATTTTTTCATTAGCTTTGGAAGTGCAGTAAAAAGATATACAAATGAAAATAAAAGTTATTGATATAGAGTTGTTGGTATTTATCAAAAATTTAGAATACAATTCAAAGCATTCTTGAAATGATTAAAAAAGATATTTCAATCTAACCGTTGTTAGTTTGCACTCTTTATTTCCATAACACTTTTGAGGTGATTTTCACAAATTTTTAAAAAGTCAAATTTTTTTAGTCTTGCGTTGCTGCGCGTCTGCTGCCGCTTCCTCTGTTTTTCTTTCCTCGTGGCGTGTCATTGGGTCTATTTTTGAAGGCGCATCATCAAAGAAGCCACCAAAAATCTCTCTCTGCGCTGCTGCTGCTGGCGAAAAGCACACAAACATGGCCTGCTTGCCTGCTGCTGACTCACGAAAAGTGCCATTATTGCCAGCAGCCACCCTTATCGCGTTTCACCCCGAAAACGAGGCAGGGAAATTTCCGTCGACTGCCAATTTCGCCGCCGAGAGCAGCAGTTTTCTTTTGGCAGAGACGCAGTGGATGGGTTCAAGGGCTGGGCCGCTTAGATTGTTAATGAATGAAAGCGACGTTGGCTTGCTGCAAGTCCGAGAACGCGGCCTTGACAATTAGAGATGAGCAAAGAGGATCTTTGCATGGTCGGATTCAAAACTAGGCGAGCTTTGATCTCTTTTGATCTCAAATTTGTCTCACAGCCAACTTTTAAATATGAAGCACATTGTTTATCGTAATGGACCACAAAGCTTATTTGACTTACAATAGAAAATTAATAGCAAGAATAA